CCAAAAAAACAGGTAAAACTCATCATGAATATTACTCTGTTACTCAAATCAACCTTAAACGCAAGTACAACGCTTGGAAAACCCTGCTGGTGAACACTCATGGCAGGAAAAATCCTATTGTACTAGCGACTGAACCATACACTAATAACAAACACCTAATTCCACCAATAAGCAAAGAACTAACCGAGTATTATTACAAAGTTGGGGACATTAGGCCCCGTGCCGCCATAGTAATACACAAAAACCTAGCTGAAAAAAGTTGGGAACTATCGCAATTCACAACCCCGGATCAAGTTGCTATTAAGATTCAACTTAGCTCGACAGAAGTAATTCTGGCAGCTTCGTACATGGATATTAATGGACCAGCTCCATCCCACGAAACCACACCTCTAGCCAAATACGCTATAGACAACAAAATACCACTCATAATAGGCTCTGACACCAACTCCCAACACACTCTTTGGGGTAACAGGTTGTGCAATAGAAGAGGAGAGGAACTACTTGATTTCCTCTCGTCGCTAGGGCTCTCCTGTTCCAACAAAGGTTCAACTCCAACATTCCTCAACTCACGAGGTCATAATTCCATCATTGACCTCACTATTACCAACCAACTGGGGGCTGAACTGATCAGTAACTGGCACGTTAGTGATCTTTACTCAAACTCCGATCACAGATATATCATGTTCGACATTACTTCTGGTCCCAAAAAAGAACCAAGACAAATACGCCTAGTCAAGAACACTGACTGGGCGAAATTTGACGAGATTCTTTACAACAACAATGATCTCCACAACACCTGCGTTAACACACCACACGACATTGATCACAAAGTTAACACCATTAATACTGCTCTCCGAGCGGCCTTCGAGGAGGCATGTCCCATTACTTACATCTCCAGCGCTGTCAGAAAACCACCCTGGCTAACTCGAGAAGTTGAGGAAGCACAGAGGGGTATAAGACACAAACTCATCACAGCTCGTCGAATCAAAACTGAAGCTTCGTGGCTCGCTCTTAGAGAAAGCAACAAGCAATACAACAAGATCCTGTCCAACTCCCAGCGCAATGCGTGGCGGAAATTCTGCGCAGACACAGAATCAGTTAAGGAATCTGGAAGGATGAACAAGATTCTGAAAACCTGTACTGACACCAATAACAAACTTGAAGCCGTTTATAAACCAAATGGAGAACTCACCAAAAACGCAGAGGAGACACTGGAGGTCATGACACAAACCCACTTCAAGGAGAGTGTTACTGATCCGCCAGTTCCGCCTCTCTGCCCCTTACCCATCTCCACAGACTTACTAGACAAAATCTACAGCCCTGAAAGAATCGAAAAGGCTCTCCTATCCTTCGATCCCTTGAAGGCTGCAGGACCTGACACTCTAAAACCTATCATATTCCAGAAAGCCTGGGCTCATATCAAAGACATAACAAAAAACATTATGACAAAAAACCATGAAACGCAACACATCCCAACTTTGTGGAGGGACTCTCTTGGAATCTGTCTCCCTAAGCCTGGAAAAACCGACTACAACAAAGCTAAGTCATTTCGAACGATCACTCTTTCGCCTGTGATGTTAAAGTTGCAGGAGAAAGTGATCTTATGGCATATGCAACATGACCTCAACATAGCTAATGATATCAACAAACGACAATTCGGTTTTAAAAAGGGCTGCTCCACAGAAGCGGCACTTCATAAAGTTACTCACACCATTGAGCGCAGAATAGCCAAGAAAGGATATGTCCTAGGTGTCTTTCTAGATATAGAGGGCGCCTTCGACAATGTCTCGTTCAAGGCTATCTCTGAAGCAGTCAAGGCTACGAAAGTGGACTTGGCTACAGCACAGTGGATCATCAACATGGTAACCAATCGATTCATCACACTAAATCATAAGGATAAGTCGAGAAGGGTACGGATCAGGCGAGGTTGCCCCCAAGGAGGCATTCTCTCTCCTTTTCTCTGGAACCTGGTAGTCGACGATCTCCTTTCCTTTACCGCAAAAGACAACCCGGGTTACCTGCAAGCCTTTGCGGATGATCTGTTGTCTCTAGCGGAAGGGGATGATTTAGACATCATCTGGGACCGAACATGCAAAACTATTAAAACGATAGAAAATTGGTGCAGAACCAAAGAGCTATCTATTAGCGCCCTTAAAACTCAGATAGTCATGTTTACCTGGAATAGTAAGTGGACTCTAAGACCTATAACAGTTGGCAACAACATTATAGGTCTTTCCAAGTCTGCTAAATTTCTAGGAGTGACCTTGGACAGCAAACTCAACTTCAATGAACATATCATCAACACCACCAAAAAAGCCACGGCATCCCTCATGCAATGTCGAAGAGCTGTCGGCCCCACATGGGGTATGAGCCCCAAAACATGCAAATGGATGTACACGGCTGTCATCCGTCCAATCCTATCCTACTGCTGTAGTATATGGATCAGGGCCACTCAAACGGACTATAACGCGAAGAAACTCAAACGTGTTCAGGCATTGGCACTCAGAATGATGTCTGGTGCCATGCCAAGCACACCTTTTATCGCATTGAATCACCTCACCGACACTTCTGACATCATACTGTTCCTGCAAGGCGAAGCAGCAAAGGGTGCGGCCAGGCTACAAGCTTATGGCAGCCTCACTCTTGAAACTATCGCCTTCAGGAAGGGAACTATCAAAAATCATACCATTATCAACAAACAATTCATGGCAGATCTCATTATTCCACCTAGAGCAACGAGAGACCTAACAACACCAACCATGATGCTGGGACAGCACTTCACCGTCACAACTCCTGGAGCCGATAACACTGAATATAGAAATTCACTTCAAAACACCATAGACAACATTACCAGTGAAACAATCACCTGCTACACTGACGGGTCACTCACAGACTCAGGATGCGGGGCTGGCTATATCATCACAACTGACAACAATAACACCACCCTTGAAGAAAGATCATTCAAGCTCCCTGACTATTGCACTGTTTACCAAACAGAGCTCACCGCTATCATTGAAGCTTGCAAATATCTATCTACATATACCAACACACACATCATCATATGGTCTGACAGTCTATCATCTATTCAAGCTCTCTCCGCACTTTCAACGCGGAGTAGAACTACAAGAGACTGTTACGACTCTCTTAATTCACTCGGATCCAACAACACGCTAGATATACGATGGATTGCAGCACACATCGGATTGTGGGGGAACGAAAAAGCAGATGAGCTGGCCAAGCTTGGCACTATCAGTGAATCCACTTTGAAGTGTCCAATTCCACAATCCTACATCAAACGTCAAATCGACAACAAAGTCAACAGACTGAATCAGGAAACTTGGGTAACTGACGGTCCCAGACACACCAAACTGACACTCGGCCACAAGCATGCCAAAATCATCAAAAACCTCAACACTACACTCAGCAACAACAGACAGGATTACAGAACTGCAGTTCACCTCATCACGGGTCACTGCGGCCTAAATAAACACCTTCACACCATTTGCAAATCAAACACCAGTGCTTGTCCTATGTGCGGGGACGGAGAGGAAACTGTCTCACACTTCCTTGGACAGTGTCCGGCTATTGCCCAAATTAGAGGTCAATATTTCCAAGACTACTACCTCTCTGTCAATGACATATTCGACAACCAACACATCACCACAATTGTCAATTTCGCAAACCGCACCAAACGCTTAATTGTGCCGGAAGAGCTGGATCAGACCGGGGTGACTTAAAGTATTATCTCATATGCTGTCTCGTCTCGTTTTACTTTTCCAAACCCAGCTGGCACTTAAGCGTATCATTTTGACTCATATAACATCTTACACCATCCTCCACCAATCACTCTGATCTCACCGGTAACCTTCCCCAAGGTTGCCACACCCCAGAGGTAGGCAGAGCATCTCAATGCTATCCTCTCGTGGGCTATCTTGGCCCAGCCTCTCTAAAAAAAAAAAAAAAAAAGGACCCCCAATATTCTCTAAAGTTACATTTCAAAGTTTTAGTAATGACGTGTGGTGTGAATATTTTACTCCCGATGGGTTGTGTTGATTGAGGAGGAATTCGTTTCTTGAAACCGTTGTGAATAAGAAAGTCCTCTTTTGGTGGTTTTGCGATACTCGGGTTTCTTTCGAAAAGAAACTTGGAGTGATTGTTTTTGAGTGTGCGGTAGGCTGTGACATGATCGGTAGAGAAACATGGGTCTAGCGCGAGGACAGGCTCCAAACCCCTGTACCAGTCCAATTTCATGTTCATCTGTTCTTTGAAAGCTAAGGAGACAAGGGAGTTATCTTTGAGATTTTCAAACGTTGGCTATATTTGAGAGTGAGGTTAATACATTCATAGATTAATGGGTAGCGGCCTGACTCACCCCAGACGCCTGCGTTGCTGGCTTTACGATTTACCCCCAGTGACCATTTAAGAAAGTGATGGTGAACTTTTTCGCTGTTCAGAAGGCTAATTTTCTTGAGGATACTAGTTTGAAATTTTGTTTTTGTGTCTATATGACCCCGGAGAGTGGACTAACACTAGTTACCTTTACAGGGTGACCTATATGACCCCGGAGAGTGGACTAACACTAGTACCCCCACTAGGGTGACCTATATGACCCCGGAGAGTGGACTAACACCAGTACCCCCCACTAGGGTGACCTATATGACCCCGGAGAGTGGACTAACACCAGTACCCCCCACTAGGGTGACCTATATGACCCCGGAGAGTGGACTAACACTAGTACCCCCCACTAGGGTGACCTATATGACCCCGGAGAGTGGACTAACACTAGTACCCCCACTAGGGTGACCTATATGACCCCGGAGAGTGGACTAACACTAGTACCCCCCACTAGGGTGACCTATATGACCCCGGAGAGTGGACTAACACTAGTACCCCCACTAGGGTGACCTATATGACCCCGGAGAGTGGACTAACACCAGTACCCCCCACTAGGGTGACCTATATGACCCCGGAGAGTGGACTAACACTAGTACCCCCACTAGGGTGACCTATATGACCCCGGAGAGTGGACTAACACTAGTTCGGAGGAACTGCCCCGTACTACGCGTGTCCGGGAACACAGCAGCTCAGATGATATCCCCTCTATGATGAAGTCAGCTGTTAACACGGAGATAAAGAGAACGTCCTCCTCTAATCACGAGCTCAGTTCTAACAAAACAGAGCTGGTTACTCCAGCTTACAGTAGGCAGGTGTGTAACTATGACAACCCAGTAATATCTTAGTTTCTTATCTTTAGTGTTTTCACGACATCTTAGTTTCTTATCTGCAGTGTTTTCACGACATTTTAGTTTCTTATCCGCAGTGTTTTCATGACATTTTAGTGTTTAGCTGTGGTTTTATCTCAACTTTCTTCTTCCGGTAATTTATTCTATTTTATTTTACAATTCTTCCCAGACGTTTACGTTTCCTGATGACTGCCCTACAGCTGTACTTAACACTGAAAATGATATCGCTAATGCTGTTGACGATGATAGCGAGGATTTGCCGATTAGTGTTAAAACTCCTTACAGGTGAGATCTAATCAAGACGTTAAATAATTAGGGGTCATTTACATATTACGTAATATGTGAACGACCCCTAGGTATAATAATAAGTAAAGTAAATAGAGATAGGGGAGGGGAAACGGCAAAATTTTTCTGTAAAAGCTCTTTTTTTAAATCTTTATTTTTAACTTACTCCTTATTTTACTTACTATACATATTACTTATATTACTCCTTTGTAAATTTTATTCCTAAAACTTGTCCAGTACTCTGAACAGCGTTAGTGAAGCTATGCAGTCAGCTATGGACGAGGAGAGCGAGGACCAGGAATTCTTCGTAGTCGAGAGGTATAAAGCTAATTAGGATAATTAATAACTATATAATTATCCAATTAATTAGTTGTGAGGTTTGTGGTAGGTACGGAGAACCAACAGTGGATAATATAAACTGTAACATGTCCGGTAGATTAATTGTCGTATCAACCTGAAGTATGTTCCTTTGTGACAGTGAGTTAGTGGAGACCATGGTTGCTAAGGGACAATTTGTTATAAAGAAGTTAGTGGACACTCCTTGCAAACTTGTGGAGGATCATCTGACTTTACCTGAAGATACTGACCAGCTCAAATCTCCCCCTCACTTCCCTCTCCCTCTCTCCAGAATCACGGTAATAGATACTTGGGGATCACGGTAATAGATACTAGGGGATCACGGTAATAGATACTAGGGGATCACGGTAATAGATACTAGGGGATCACGGTAATAGATACTAGGGGATCACGGTAATAGATACTAGGGGATCACGGTAATAGATACTAGGGGATCACGGTAATAGATACTAGGGGATCACGGTAATAGATACTAGGGGATCACGGTAATAGATACTAGGGGATCACGGTAATAGATACTAGGGGATCACGGTAATAGATACTAGGGGATCACGGTAATAGATACTAGGGGATCACGGTAATAGATACTAGGGGAGCTCATGTTTGTAAAAATGTACCAAAATCAAATACCTATCATACCCGAGCTTGTGAAGTTAATATTCCAATCCCTCAGATAAAGGAACTGTCCCTGCAGTGGATAATGTACGGAGGTAACGACTTCCCCGCTCAGGAACCTCGCTCCTTGCCCGGCACTCCTAGATCAGACAGATCGCGTACTACCAGGTTAGTTAGTAACCATGGTAACCATTAGTAACTACCAGGTTAGTTAGTAACCATGGTAACCATTAGTAACTACCAGGTTAGTTAGTAACCATGGTAACCATTAGTAACTAACAGGTTAATAGTTCAATATTAACAATAAATAGTTATGTTATTTTAATTAATAATGTTTGGTGGTTAAATTAATAAGTTAATAATTGTCGTTTGTCTTGTGATACATTTTACGTTTTTGGTAAGCTTAGGTTTTTTTAATCTGCTGTTTGATTTTGCGAAATTGAAGGACTAGGCTACCTGACAATTGGCTAGTTAGCCCCCCTCCCCCTGAACTTTCTGAAAATAAGGATAGCTCGTTGATTAGCATCACATCAATCCAGTCTACTTGTTACCATGACAACTACACAGTCTACTTGTTACCATGACAACTACACAGTCTACTTGTCCAGTGAATCAGGTGGCAGAGAGCGGAGAAACAGTCCTAATAAGAACCATGAAGTTGGACGGAACAAGTCCGAACAGATGGAGTTTCAGATTAATAAAATAAAACTCAGATTCGAGCAGTATCCTGAAACTGCACTTCAGATATTCAGGTAGTTTTCTACTTCATTCCTGCATAGTAACCATGGTAACCGTTAGTAACCATGGTAAGGGTGTTAAAGACATTAATTTTTCTTTATTCTTGATTTACATGAAATCTTCATGTTAAGCCTAATATTATTATTTAACGTATTTAACTTTCAGACTGTGCCTGATACTAACTGATGTAGAAATCAGAGACAAGATGGGTTCTAGTAACTTCAACAAGTTCCTCTATCAGTACAGTACAGACGAGAACCCCCGACCCTCCAGAACCCCCATGCTCTCTGTTAAAGTGAGTAACCAGGTAACCAGGTAACCAGGTAATCAGGTAACCAGGTAACCTCTATCAGTACAGTACAGACGAGAACCCCCGACCCTCCAGAACCCCCATGCTCTCTGTTAAAGTGAGTAACCAGGTAACCAGGTAACCAGGTAACCAGGTAACCAGGTAACCAGGTAACCAGGTAACCTCTATCAGTACAGTACAGACGAGAACCCCCGACCCTCCCGTACCCCCATGCTCTCTGTTAAAGTGAGTAACCAGGTAACCAGGTAACCAGGTAACCAGGTAACCAGGTAACCAGGTAACCAGGTAACCTATATCAGTACAGTACAGACGAGAACCCCCGACCCTCCCGTACCCCCATGCTCTCTGTTAAAGTGAGTAACCAGGTAACCAGGTAACCAGGTAACCAGGTAACCAGGTAACCAGGTAACCAGGTAACCAGGTAACCAGGTAACCTATATCAGTACAGTACAGACGAGAACCCCCGACCCTCCCGTACCCCCATGCTCTCTGATAAAGTGAGTAACCAGGTAACCAGGTAACCAGGTAACCAGGTAACCAGGTAACCAGGTAAACAGGTAACCTATATCAGTACAGTACAGACGAGAACCCCCGACCCTCCCGTACCCCCATGCTCTCTGTTAAAGTGAGTAACCAGGTAACCAGGTAACCAGGTAACCAGGTAATCAGGTAACCAGGTAACCAGGTAACCTATATCAGTACAGTACAGACGAGAACCCCCGACCCTCCCGTACCCCCATGCTCTCTGTTAAAGTAAGCAGTTGTTTTTATATTTTGATTGGTCAGATTGAGATATATTAAGAATATTTCTATGAGGATGTAAGCTGGGACAATGTCTGTAATGTGTTCCTCTATCAGGTAGTCCACAACAGATCGGAAGAGCTAACAGAAGATGCGATAATCCGAGTATCACTCCTCCCTCTCCGATTTAACATCGACCAGGACGCACTCATCTTCATGTTCAACTTCTTCAACAACATGTCCGAGATAGCGCCCTACCGGCGTGCGCGCGTTCCTACCCGTGCGTCTCCTAGCAACCCTCCCTGTACAACCTCTACTACCAGAACAGTGGCTGAGGAGCCGCTCTCTTTCGGTAAAAGTTCAGCAGTGGTAGGCAAGACAACCGCGTGTGCTGTGTCGGAGAGGGGAGGTGTGACGGCACCAATGACGTCATCATCTCGTGGGAGTATGACGTCATCAGCATCCTCTTCTCTACACGCTAGATCTACTGCTGCATCAGGGTCTGTCTGTGGGACTACATTACCAGGTTAGTGGGGCCCAACATTCAGTTTATCTTCTACAAGGGGAGATCTTCTACTAGGGGAGATCTTTAGAGGGTCTCGAACTCGCAACCTTTTGATCGTTAACACGATAGCGCCTTCACCAAAATCTTATCCAATTTATTTAAAGCAGAGTCCAACCGGTCGACACCCGACATTGAAGATACTCCCACTTTTATCAAAGCGTTTGTTTTCTCTCCTGAGGTGCCTATCAGAGTGGACTACAAGGTAACCATATCGACATTCTGAAATCTAAAAAATGAAAATAGAATTGTAGTCTGTTGTAGTCTTTTGAATTTTAATCTATCAAATTATTATTACATTATTTAGGGTTTCGAGTAAATTAATGTTTGACTACACTGATTAACTGATTACAACGTTAATTATTTGATAACACCACCCACCAGGGAAAGAACATAAGAGGAGATAAGAATTTAATCAGTAATCCAGTGACTAATCTGCTGATAGGATTGGCTCAGCTCAATTGTTCAGAACTCAGACTCAAATCCCTTTGTTACAGACAGGGTAAGTGGTAACCAGGTAACCAGGTAACCAGGTAACGAGGTAACCAGGTAACCAGGTAATTGTTCAGAACTTAGACTCAAGTCCCTTTGTTACAGACAGGGTGATTGGTAACCAGGTAACCAGGTAACCAGGTAACCAGGTAACCAGGTAACCAGGTAATTGTTCAGAACTTAGACTCAAGTCCCTTTGTTACAGACAGGGTGATTGGTAACCAGGTAACCAGGTAACCAGGTAACCAGGTAACCAGGTAACCAGGTAACCAGGTAACCAGGTAACCAGGTAATTGTTCAGAACTTAGACTCAAGTCCCTTTGTTACAGACAGGGTGATTGGTAACCAGGTAACCAGGTAACCAGGTAACCAGGTAACCAGGTAACCAGGTAACCAGGTAATTGTTCAGAACTCAGACTCAAGTCCCTTTGTTACAGACAGGGTAAGTGGAATCAGAAGTTCAAATTAGAATAAATATCCGACCACTATTGGTTCTCTGCTAGCAGCGACATTTTCTTGTCAGCATTTAAACGGGAAGTAAGTAATAAGTATATATTAACTTATTAATGGATTAAACATTGGGTCCGGGACTCTACGCTCTACGGCGTAAGACTCTACGGCGTAAGACTCTAACCCTAACCCTAACTCTAACCCTTACCCTTACCCTTACCCTTACCCTAACCCTAACCCTAACCCTAACCCTAACCCGCCGTAGAGTCTCACGCCGTAGAGTCCAGACCCCGTTTATTCCACGTTAATAACCGAGTCTAATACTACAGGTTTATTGGGCTACTCTCGACTCTTAGAATGGGCTACGAATCAGTGGGTAAATGACATAAAGACATCCCAACTACCTTCCATTTTAGGGGGAGTCGGACCAATGCACTCCTTCATTCAGCTGTTCTCAGGTAAACACTGCACTCCTTCATTCAGCTGTTCTCAAGTAAACAATGCACTCCTTCATTCAGCTGTTCTCAGGTAAACAATGCACTCCTTCATTCAGCTGTTCTCAGGTAAACAATGCACTCCTTCATTCAGCTGTTCTCAGGTAAACAATGCACTCCTTCATTCAGCTGTTCTCAGGTAAACAATGCACTCCTTCATTCAGCTGTTCTCAGGTAAACAATGCACTCCTTCATTCAGCTGTTCTCAGGTAAACAATGCACTCCTTCATTCAGCTGTTCTCAGGTAAACAATGCACTCCTTCATTCAGCTGTTCTCAGGTAAACAATGCACTCCTTCATTCAGCTGTTCTCAGGTAAACAATGCACTCCTTCATTCAGCTGTTCTCAGGTAAACAATGCACTCCTTCATTCAGCTGTTCTCAGGTAAACAATGCACTCCTTCATTCAGCTGTTCTCAGGTAAACAATGCACTCCTTCATTCAGCTGTTCTCAGGTAAACAATGCACTCCTTCATTCAGCTGTTCTCAGGTAAACAATGCACTCCTTCATTCAGCTGTTCTCAGGTAAACAATGCACTCCTTCATTCAGCTGTTCTCAGGTAAACAATGCACTCCTTCATTCAGCTGTTCTCAGGTAAACAATGCACTCCTTCATTCAGCTGTTCTCAGGTAAACAATGCACTCCTTCATTCAGCTGTTCTCAGGTAAACAATGCACTCCTTCATTCAGCTGTTCTCAGGTAAACAATGCACTCCTTCATTCAGCTGTTCTCAGGTAAACAATGCACTCCTTCATTCAGCTGTTCTCAGGTAAACAATGCACTCCTTCATTCAGCTGTTCTCAGGTAAACAATGCACTCCTTCATTCAGCTGTTCTCAGGTAAACAATGCACTCCTTCATTCAGCTGTTCTCAGGTAAACAATGCACTCCTTCATTCAGCTGTTCTCAGGTAAACAATGCACTCCTTCATTCAGCTGTTCTCAGGTAAACAATGCACTCCTTCATTCAGCTGTTCTCAGGTAAACAATGCACTCCTTCATTCAGCTGTTCTCAGGTAAACAATGCACTCCTTCATTCAGCTGTTCTCAGGTAAACAATGCACTCCTTCATTCAGCTGTTCTCAGGTAAACAATGCACTCCTTCATTCAGCTGTTCTCAGGTAAACAATGCACTCCTTCATTCAGCTGTTCTCAGGTAAACAATGCACTCCTTCATTCAGCTGTTCTCAGGTAAACAATGCACTCCTTCATTCAGCTGTTCTCAGGTAAACAATGCACTCCTTTATTCAGCTGTTCTCAAGTAAACAATGCACTCCTTCATTCAGCTGTTCTCAGGTAAACAATGCACTCCTTCATTCAGCTGTTCTCAGGTAAACAATGCACTCCTTCATTCAGCTGTTCTCAGGTAAACAATGCACTCCTTCATTCAGCTGTTCTCAGGTAAACAATGCACTCCTTCATTCAGCTGTTCTCAGGTAAACAATGCACTCCTTCATTCAGCTGTTCTCAGGTAAACAATGCACTCCTTCATTCAGCTGTTCTCAGGTAAACAATGCACTCCTTCATTCAGCTGTTCTCAGGTAAACAATGCACTCCTTCATTCAGCTGTTCTCAGGTAAACAATGCACTCCTTCATTCAGCTGTTCTCAGGTAAACTTATCATAACCTTATTAACTACGTAATTAGTTAATTAGTTAATTAGTTAATTAGTTAATTAGTTAATATTTAATTATGTGTCAGGAGTGGTGGATCTGGTCTACTTGCCAGTGCAGCAGTACAGGGAGGATGGTAGGATAGTGAGAGGACTGCAGAGAGGGGCTAACAGTTTTACACACAGTACTGCTGTCTCACTCTTACAGCTCACAACTAAACTATTCTCCTCAATTCAGTGTGTGGCTGAGGTTAGTAACCATAGTTACCAATAGTAACCACTGAGGTTTGCTAATCCTATATTGAATAAATACTAATCACTAACTTTAAATTAATCATACACTAATTATAAACCAAATTTCGAAAATTAATTGATATTGAAACAATTGTAAATTAATAACACACTAAATAACAACAGGTAACGTACGACCTAGTGTCTCCGTCCCAACACAGAAGGAGTTCTCCCTCGTTCCAGCACCCAGCTGATCTTAGAGAGGGTCTAGTTAACGCTTACCAGGTAAATAAGGGGGGGGGGGGCAACCTCATTATTTACCTGGTAAATAAGGGGGGGGGGGGGCAACCTCATTATTTACCTGGTAAATAAGGGGGGGGGGGGGGGGCAACCTCATTATTTACCTGGTAAATAAGGGGGGGCAACCTCATTATTTACCTGGTAAATAAGGGGGGGGCAACCTCATTATTTACCTGGTAAATAAGGGGGGGGGCAACCTCATTATTTACCTGGTAAATAAGGGGGGGCAACCTCATTATTTACCTGGTAAATAATGGGGGGCAACCTCATTATTTACCTGGTAAATAATGGGGGGCAACCTCATTATTTACCTGGTAAATAAGGGGGCAACCTCATTATTTACCTGGTAAATAAGGGGGGGGCAACCTCATTATTTACCTGGTAAATAAGGGGGCAACCTCATTATTTACCAGGTAAATAAGGGAGGGGGCAACCTCATTACTTACCAGGTAAATAAGGGGGGGGGGGCAACCTCATTACTTACCAGGTAAATAAATATTCAGTTAATTATCTGGTAATAAGGTTTGTAACGTTAATCGATAACTTGATAAGGTAGTTTGTTCTATGATTTTGTGGGTATATTAATCTCAAGGTAGAAGCATGGAACTGTTATATGACTTGTTAATTAGTTAATTAGTTAATTAGTTAATTAGTTGATTAGTTAATTAGTTAATCAGTTAGTTTATTTAAACTACCACGTGCAGGTAGTGACGACTGATATCAGTTCCCGAGCTAGCAGTATCCAGCACGCAGCTCTCTATAACCACACGACTAAAGGAATTACTTCTGCTGTAGGGGGGGTCCTCAGGTTATTCACCTTTATCTTACAACCTTACTAGGGGGGGGGGTCCTCAGGTTATTCACCTTTATCTTACAACCTTACTAGGGGGGGGTCCTCAGGTTATTCACCTTTATCTTGCAACCTTACTAGGGGGGGGGGTCCTCAGGTTATTCACCTTTATCTTACAACCTTACTAGGGGGGGTCCTCAGGTTATTCGCCTTTATCTTACAACCTTACTAGGGGGGGTCCTCAGGTTATTCGCCTTTATCTTACAACCTTACTAGGGGGGTCCTCAGGTTATTCGCCTTTATCTTACAACCTTACTAGGGGGGTCCTCAGGTTATTTGCCTTTATCTTACAACCTAACTAGGGGGGGTCCTCAGGTTATTCGCCTTTATCTTACAACCTAACTAGGGGGGGTCCTCAGGTTATTCGCCTTTATCTTACAACCTTACTAGGGGGGTCCTCAGGTTATTCACCTTCATCTTACAACCTTACTAGGGGGGTCCTCAGGTTATTCACCTTTATCTTACAACCTAACTAGGGGGGGTCCTCAGGTTATTCGCCTTTATCTTACAACCTAACTAGGGGGGGTCCTCAGGTTATTCGCCTTTATCTTACAACCTTACTAGGGGGGTCCTCAGGTTATTCACCTTCATCTTACAACCTTACTAGGGGGGTCCTCAGGTTATTCACCTTTATCTTACAACCTTACTGGGGGGGTCCTCAGGTTATTCACCTTTATCTTACAACCTTACTAGGGGGGGTCCTCAGGTTATTCGCCTTTATCTTACAACCTTACTAGGGGGGGTCCTCAGGTTATTCACCTTTATCTTACAACCTTACTAGGGGGGGTCCTCAGGTTATTCACCTTTATCTTACAACCTTACTAGGGGGGTCCTCAGGTTATTCACCTTTATCTTACAACCTTACTAGGGGGGGTCCTCACTCCTCAGGTTATACACCTTTATCTTATAACCTTACTAGGGGGGGTCCTCAGGTTATTCGCCTTTATCTTACAACCTTACTGGGGGGGGGGGGTCCTCGGGTTATTCATCTTTATCTTACAACCTTACTAGGGGGGGTCCTCAGGTTATTCGCCTTTATCTTACAACCTTACTAGGGGGGGGGGGGGTCCTCAGGTTATACACCTTTATCTTATAACCTTACTAGGGGGGGGTCCTCAGGTTATTCGCCTTTATCTTATAACATCACTAGGGGGGTCCTCAGGTTATTCACCTTTATCTTACAACCTTACTAGGGGGGGTCCTCAGGTTATTCACCTTTATCTTACAACCTTACTAGGGGGGGGGGGTCCTCAGGTTATTCACCTTTATCTTACAACCTTACTAGGGGGGTCCTCAGGTTATTCGCCTTTATCTTACAACCTTACTAGGGGGGGTCCTCAGGTTATTCACCTTTATCTTACAACCTTACTAGGGGGTCCTCAGGTTATTCACCTTTATCTTACAACCTTACTAGGGGGGTCCTCAGGTTATTCGCCTTTATCTTACAACCTTACTAGGCGCTTCTATCGAGACTTGTTAATACCACTGTGTTTTTAACCACTCTGCTACTAGAGTGATATCACTCTGCTACTAGATTATTATGGTACCCTCTTATTTCGAGTTAAGAGATGGGAAATAATATCAATATTCAACAGACTATGTACTCCTTTATCTGAAGACTAATTATTAACAGAGAGATTCCTCCCACCCTGTTACTCCCCTTTATTACTCTTCCTAAAGTTATTACACAGCTTTCTAACGGCGCGCAGAACCAACTAATTAGTATAATTAACTAATTAACTAATTAACTAATTAACTAATTATTAACAGAGAGATTCCTCCCACCCTGTTACTCCCCTTTATAACTCTTCCTAAAGTTATTACACAGCTTTCTAACGGCGCGCAGAACCATCTCAAACCCAGTGAGTAATACTTCTGCTATTATACACCCTGTACTATATATATATAGCAATGTTAGTTTCAAACCACCTTCATTAAATTAGATATTCAAATAATTATAACTTTCAAGTTTCAGCGTTGTGTTAATGTTTCCGATTTCAGGTACCCTGAAAGAGCGCGAAGAAAAGTATCGATCTACGTAAAAATCTGTAATTTTGCCCTATCTTCTAAGTGCAGAACCCGTTAAGTAAACAAGACAACTGTTAAGTAAACAAGACAACTGATTTATTTACAGATTTTTACGTGAAATTTGATTGTTTAAGTTAAAAACCAAAGCCGTGTTAAATCTTATATTTACTGTTGTTTTTTTTAAAGGTTTGGTGAGTTGAATTTTTGTTTATGTTAATAAACTTGAGACCCACCTGAAAATCTTAAAGTCAACTTCAAGACAACAAAGTTCTGTCCAAGTTTACAATCTGATTTGCGAGAATTTTTATGAGAAAAACAAATGAACATTTATCAAGCAAAGTTTTTTTGATTATGTTTAAGTTTAATAGAAAACTCATTTATTGTTTCAGTCGAAAAACTTGTAGTTGTAAATTTTGATGTACGATTCTAATTGTCCAGGTGATAATTTGTAATTGAAATGTAATTTGTTTTCGTTAAATGTAAGACTGCACATTTTATTTAGTGTCGCAGATACATATACATGATATAGCAATTAAACTATATCGTAACGGTAAAATGGTCGCATTCTCTTGTAGGTTTATTGGACTCGTCGACGGTCTTTGAAACAAATATTTTACGAGTATCACCCGTTAAGCAATAGTTTTTATATTATTTGAGAGGAAAACAATATTGTCTCGCTTAGACTGATTTAACGGGTGATACTCGTAAAATATTTGTTTCGACGAGTCCAACTCGGCGCGCGTCCTGGTAGGTCATAAACCTACAAAGACTGATCTACATTATATCGTGGGGTGTTACTGTTATAATAACTAATCAGAATAGAATAAGATAAGAAGGACATATAATATATGGTGGCTCATGTCCGCCATCGTTTTTAAATCGATTCGAAAAAAAACCGACGTCAAATCATTTTCCATGTAAGTCTCGAGATATGCGCCTTTGTGACCCCCAAAATTGTCCCTTTGGATAGGGTTTTCGGGTTTTCAAGGGATATCTCGAGTTCGGCTGCTTAAAATTTGCCCAAAATCTCACCGATTATCCGTGTCCTGGCCATACAGCGATGTGAAAAGTTTGAAGAAAGTGGGACTTTTGAGTCTCGAGATATGCGCCTTTGAAAAGTGACGAGATATGCGCCTTTGTGAACCCCGAAATTGCCCCTTTGGATAGGGTTTTCGGGTTTTCAAGGGATATCTCGAGTTCGGCTGCTTACAATTTGCCCAAAATCTCACCGATTATCCGTGTCCTGGCCATACAGCGATGTGAAAAGTTTGAAGAAAGTGGGACTTTTGAGTCTCGAGATATGCGCCTTTGTGACCCCCAAAATGCCCCTTTGGACAAGGTTTCCTGTGTTTGCAAGAATATTTTGAGTTCGGCTGCTTAAAATTGGCCGAAAATTTCACCGATTATCCGTCTCTTGGCCATACAAATGTATGAAAAGTTTGAGTAAAGTGCGATTTGTAAGTCTCGAGAAGCTTTAGATTTAATCACACATCATCCAAACAAACTTGTCAGACCATGGGTTCTCATGACAGGCTCTAAAGAAATAACAACAGTGTGAAAGGTGTGGAGGAGAGACTATATCACACATGACAGTGTGAAAGGTGTGGAGGAGAGACTATATCACACATGACAGTGTGTAAGGTGTGGAGGAGAGACTATATCACACATGACAGTGTGCAAGGTGTGGAGGAGAGACTATATCACACATGACAGTGTGAAAGGTGTGGAGGAGAGACTATATCACACATGACAGTGTGTAAGGTGTGGAGGAGAGACTATATCACACATGACAGTGTGAAAGGTGTGGAGGAGAGACTATATCACACATGACAGTGTGAAAGATGTGGAGGAGAGACTATATCACACATGACAGTGTGAAAGATGTGGAGGAGAGACTATATCACACATGACAGTGTGCAAGGTGTGGAGGAGAGACTATATCACACATGACAGTGTGTAAGGTGTGGAGGAGAGACTATATCACACATGACAGTGTGCAAGGTGTGGAGGAGAGACTATATCACACATGACAGTGTGAAAGATGTGGAGGAGAGACTATATCACACATGACAGTGTGAAAGGTGTGGAGGAGAGACTATACCTTACAAGACATATTTATAACGTACGAAATGTGGCGGTTTTCCGAAATTTCCGCCATATTTTCGGACCGCCAAAATTGGGGGGGGGGGGGGGGGCCAACCGTATACCTTTCCCCCCCCCCCCCCCCCCCCCCCCCCCCCCCCCAAAATTTCGGTCGTCGTAATAGAATCCGTCGCATTATCTTTTAGCTTATTTCAATGACTGTGCCTTCACTGCTTTATTTTGTTTCTAAAAAGTAATATCAAGTAAAATAAATAAATAAATTCTGGCATCTTGGGACAAATTATCACCACACCAATGACGAATTCAATGTCAAGCAATACAGTTTAAATTTGCATTAAAATACATGTATTATGTGCTAACATGAAAGTCTTACAGTCTTAATACAGACTAAGTTTGAACATGATTTTACTTAACGGGTGATACTCGTAAAATATCTGTTCCATATATTGGACCGTCGACGAGTCCAACTCGTCCTGGTAGGTTGTAAACCTACAAGATTTCACCGAATTTCAGAAATTTCCTTACTGCTAACTGTCACAAAAAATGATGAAAAATACCCTTATTTTCTGTGACGTCCGAAATTTGACGGTTTTTGTTCAATTTCGCCATATTTTCGGACCGCCAAAATTTCGGTCGCCGCAAATTAGGCCGCTATAAATATGTCTTGTAAGGTATCACACATGACAGTGTGAAAGATGTGGAGGAGAGACTATATCACACATGACAGTGTGAACTGTGAAAGGTGTGGAGGAGAGACTATATCACACATGACAGTGTGAAAGATGTGGAGGAGAGACTATATCACACATGACAGTGTGAAAGGTGTGGAGGAGAGACTATATCACACATGACAGTGTGAAAGGTGTCGAGGAGAGACTATATCATACATGACAGTGTGAAAGGTGTGGAGGAGAGAACTGAACTACTCTTCCACACAACTCAATCACACGCGTAAAACACTAAACGTGTCCTGTGATCGCAGCAAACTCTCCATTATTGGCTGCTAGCAGGCATACTGTCCGCTGATTGGCTATTAACTAGCACGTGGGTGAGATCCAGCGTTGTGATTGGCCAGTGAGTGGTGCTCGGTACACTCAGCAACATGCACGGTGTTGGATGGAGTATGTCACGTGGGCGCCTCAAGATGTCACGTGGGCGCCTCAAGACGGCACGTGGGCGCCTCTAGATTTTCGAGCTTATCGTGAGATTCTGCTTGGTAGTTTTAATGTGTGCTGTGGTCCGCAAGTTTCGGTAAATAACTCGCTTGTGATTGCTTTGTGATCTGAGTTATCGCTTATCGGTTTACAATTTTGAATAGTCACTATATAATTCTCGTATGCAGTTAACTAATTGTAAATTGTAATTGTCACCGCAGTGAAGAGTTTCAAGAAAACATTACTTTCTAAAAGCTTTGTTGATAGTACGGCTTGATCCTGCCCGTAATGAACAACCCAGTAAACTTCCGTGCCAACCAAAGGTTTGTCGTGTGAAAATCTGAAAAATATGATTGTTATCAAGAATATCATTATACCGCAGTCATGATTTATATTTAAAATAATGCATGTTTACAGTAAGCCGAGAATAGCATGTCAAAGACAAACTATCTGTGGGATTGTTTTATAAAACATAAATCTGACTATTATTTTTATATTTTATGACGTGACTGTTCCTGAGATATGGACAATATAGAATGATCATTTACCACAAGGTTTACATGCAAGAAATATAGTCATTGATCACAATTCGAGCATCTTTAATAAGAATCAAGTGCTTTTACTCCTTTATCAATACTTTACATTCCCAGTTATTTATATATTATACTCTGATGTTGTTACTGAGGATTTTCAGTTTTCGTTCAAGAAATTAGATGCAGTAATTATACCACAACAGCTATTTTGACACAGCTATTTCACTTTCCTCAGCTCCATGTATAAAGTTACTTTCATTGCTAATCATTATAGTGTATACTGTATGAGTGTATATGGTAGTGTATATTATAGTGCATTATAATACTCCACATACTCTATAGCTTCATTATTATATTTTCTTTCTCTCGTCAAAATTTTGGGCACTAAAATTCTTATTCCTTGACCAATTTTTTATTTTTTCATGCTGGCCATTATATCATAGCATTTGAACCAGTCAAAAACGTTTAAGTAATATATCTGTCAGTGTAAGTTTTGTAATCATTATCAGAAGATCACAGTAATTATAATATTGAGTTGTTCCTAAACTAATTTAGTTAAATTAATTTTGTATTAAGTCCTTGGAATTCGTTAGTAGTCCGTCAATCTGTTGGTCACTCTGTTGGTCACTCTGTAAGTCACTCTGTTAGTCACTCTGTTAGTCACTCTGTTAGTCACTCTGTTAGTCACTCTGTTAGTCACTCTGTTAGTCACTCTGTTAGTCACTCTGTTAGTCACTCTGTTAGTCACTCTGTTAGTCACTCTGTTAGTCACTCTGTTAGTGACTCTGTTAGTCACTCTGTTAGTCACTCTGTTAGTCACTCTGTTAGTCACTCAGTTAGTCACTCTGTTAGTCACTCTGTTGGTCACTCTGTTGGTCACTCTGTTGGTCACTCTGTTGGTCACTCTGTTGGTCACTCTGTTAGTCACTCTGTTGGTCACTCTGTTAGTCACTCTGTTAGTCACTCTGTTAGTCACTCTGTTAGTCACTCTGTTGGTCACTCTGTTGGTCACTCTGTTGGTCACTCTGTTAGTCACTCTGTTAGTCACTCTGTTAGTCACTCTGTTAGTCACTCTGTTCGTCACTCTGTTAGTCACTCTGTTGGTCACTCTGTTGGTCACTCTGTTAGTCACTCTGTTAGTCACTCTGTTAGTCACTCTGTTGGTCACTCTGTTGGTCACTCTGTTAGTCACTCTGTTGGTCTCTCTGTTAGTCACTCTGTTGGTCACTCTGTTAGTCACTCTGTTAGTCACTCTGTTAGTCACTCTGTTGGTCTCTCTGTTAGTCACTCTGTTGGTCACTCTGTTGGTCACTCTGTTAGTCACTCTGTTAGTCACTCTGTTAGTCACTCTGTTAGTCACTCTGTTAGTCACTCTGTTAGTCACTCTGTTAGTCACTCTGTTAGTCACTCTGTTGGTCACTCTGTTGGTCACTCTGTTGGTCACTCTGTTGGTCACTCTGTTGGTCACTCTGTTGGTCACTCTGTTAGTCACTCTGTTAGTCACTCTGTTAGTCACTGCACATCTTCTAGGTACAAACTACTAAGAACTGAACAGGACAGAAAAGCTAAGGTATTTGACCGGGACATGAACTCGCTAATGGGCTACATACTCGGCATATCCTGCAACCTCAGCAATCCACCCCTCAATCAAAATGAAGTAATTTTTATCTTTTTTACGATTAATACATTTATAATATATATTTTTTCCGTTTATAAAAATATCTGTGGTTTGTTTAGGCTACTAAAACTTTCATATGCTCTACATGTATGTCGGATAGTATCCGACATATACATCAGTGAGGTTCATTCTAAAGGTTTATTCACTTTATACTAAAGGTTTATAAACCCTAAGTATAAACTCTAAGTATAAACCCTTATAAACTGAAGGTTTATAAACCCTCACTATACTGTTTATAAGTTTATAAACCCTCAGTATACTGTTTATATGGTTTATAAACCCTCAGTATACTGTTTATAAGGTTTATAAACCCTCAGTATACTGTTTGCAAGGTTTATAAACCCTCACTATACTGTTTATAAGGTTTATAAACCCTCACTATACTGTTTATTGGGTTTATAAACCCTCACTATACTGTTTATAAGGTTTATAAACCCTCAGTATACTGTTTATAAGGTTTATAAACCCTCAGTATGAACCTCACTGACATTGCCTCCACAGAAGCAGCAGTGCAGAAAAGCTCGTCCAGCAACCTCCCTCCCTCCGGGCCGAATGAAGGGTCCATTTGTACGGTATTCCGACACCAGACACTTCCTAAAGACTGAGGAAAGGAAGGAGGCAGTTATAAGGAGCAATAAGAAGGAGGAGTTTAGGAGCAGGGGTACTAATGGAATGTGTACGAAGAGAGTTAAGGAGAGGAAACATGTCCGGTTCAAGCCTGAACCTCAGGTTAGTCAGTTAGCGTTACAAGAGATCACCAAGGAGATCACCAAGGATATCACCAAGTAGATTATGATTATAGTTTTATTGGACTTTCTGTAGAAAGTGTCTTTTGGTTAATATTTATCTAGCCATATTAATATTGTTATAACCATTTCAATGAATATAAATGAGAATGGTGACGTTCACCTTTACTTGACATAATACATGTGCAGTATATATTGAACCCAATATCAGTGGGATTATCCACAGGTTTATATAATAGAACCCCACGTGGACAACTGGAATATCCTGGACAGACCCAACTCAGCTCCCGCTCTAGTTACCAAGAATCACACTCTCGACCCCCGGTTCCACCAGGACACCAGACTGTTGAACCCCCGACACCACGATCATCGTCTCCAGAACCCCCGTCACCATGACAACCCACGTGACAACCCACGTGACAACACACGTGACAACACACGTGACAACACACGTGACAACACACGTGACAACACACGTGACAACGCACGTGACACGCGCTTCTTGAATAGTATGTCGCGTCCTCTGGAGAACACTAGAGTTATGGGTGATAAACCAGTAGAGTACACTTCACTGGAGTACCAACTTTACCCAACTCATCACCACAGACTCAGCTCTGGTTGTTGGACAGATGCCAAGATCAGGAGCGGAGTCAAGGACAAAAATGGGCGTGGTCAAACAAGTTATATAGGTGATAACGGGTATAGATTCAATAGAACTAGGAGCTGCTGGGAGGTCAGTAAGATGAACGGTTCTACACCTCAATTTGGCAGTTAATTAGTTGCAGTTGTGGAAGCACAAAATGTTAAACTGTTACAGAAATCATATCTGATCCCCGAAAAGAAATAGGTTTCAAGCAATCTTAGCGACCCTAATCTATGCGGACTAAACTTTCAAACTGTGAGCGGCACAAATTATGAAATATTCTCAAATAAGACCTGATGCCCGCTCACGAGTTTTATTTTTAAACATACTCAATTTATCAGGCATATAATGTCGGTGCTTGGTAATTATGAGACAGCTATTGAGACAAGCTGCTCAATAGCTCTCTTATTCAAACAAACTGCTCATATAAAGGTCGTTCAAATAAGGGCCAATAAGCGTGATCCGTCAGGTTTAAATGACTATTAGTATTGAGTAGTCATATTGAGTAACAAGTTACAAATATAACAATGGTGATGTAGTGATTTACAGTATATTTAGTAAACTGTCGTATTATTAGCTTGTTTTAGATTGTATGAATTTAGTTACCGTTCATTCATCATGTGTTTTACGAGTGAATTTAAATGTGTTTTCGTCTTTTTTGCTGAAGAAAATGTGCTGCAGGTCCGACAATTTGGAAATCTGCCACAGATTTAGCATTTCTTGATTACGAACCGGTTAAACGGTTAAACGTTAAACAGTTAAAAATGCAATTATGATATTTATAGACTCCCTGTTTGAGTATAATTTACTCGAATAATTGATAATTCTTGTGTAACACTAACAAACAAACTGAGACAGATACAGAACAGATTATATTTACACAAGGGAGGATCAAATCTTGGTTATGCTTAGTTAAGATATTTGTGAATACAAAGGTTAGTACTGCAGGGTGAACTTGTTACGAATACAAAGGTTTTGAACAATTACAACCACGATTGATATACTTAAGACGTCCGTCAAAATCGAATATTTTCAGCCCTCCTCCCCCTGTCCGGGTGTGTCCGAATTTTCAAAATCACACCCCCCCCCCCCCCCCCCTTTCCCCGGACGTCCGGATTGTTGCCAGACTGGCTGGCGACATGAAGTATAAAATTAAAAGGCAGTAGGAGAATATGCGAGTTGTGTCTCGACTCTCATGATCTGCTCTGGGAATCGCGACTTCTCGTTCAAAATACATGGACCTAATCTTACAAAGTAATTAGTGTCAAACTTCAAAGAGTTGAAATAAATGGGACTTTTTCGTTAATTCTACCAAAATTTCTCGACGTCCGGATTTTCTGAAACCACCCCCTCCCCCTGTCCGGATTTGTCCGAAATTTTAGAACCAACCCCCCCCCCCCCCCCCTTCCCTATTTGCCGGACGTCCTAAGTAGATGGCTCCTAAGAAAGATAGTCAGGAAGGCTCAGATCAGGTTGATTATTTATTTCTGGACCAAATTTAACTTGGTTCTATTTTTAACCCCTCATTTTTCTCGTATCTTTAACTTTATGCGATTATCTGGCGGTAAATTTGTTTGCAATTCAAGCAGTGCATATTTGCATTTGTGAAACGATTGAAAAATCAAAATTAACCAATTCTGATGAATAAATTAAGTGAAGTTCAATAAATCGAAATTAAAGTGATGATAATGATAAAACGTCAAAAATTACCATAGATCAATCCGTAAAAGCATAACAATGACAACGATTTATTGAAATTTATCCCAAAATTTATTTCACAAATGTTATCAAAAATTTAAAAACAGGGGAAAAAACTGCTAACACAACTAATTTATTTGAAACACTTGATCGTAGATCGCGTATTACATTGAAAAACTAGATTTGAAACCAAAAGTATCTGTCGAAGAGGCAATGTCCGTTTTTACAACCAGACAATCCTTATTTGGGCATCACGTGATTATGAATTTCCTTATATGGGCATCACGTGATCATTAAGAATATTAGGCAGCAGGTGTTCGTCCCATAAGCCACAGATGGCAGTGTACTGATTTGCAGCAAGGTTTATCGTTGTCAATGTCGTTGCATTTACTTCGGTAAACTAGGCACTCTGAAAAATGTGGCGGTTACTTTTGGTTACGTTAGGTGGTTACTATGTGGTTACTATGTGGTTACTAGGTGGTTACTAGGTGGTTACTAATTACTATGTGGTTACTATGTGGTTACTAGGTGGTTACTATGTGGTTACCTTGTGGTTACTAGGTGGTTACTTTTCATTTGCCTTTATACTTTTATAATACAGAGAATGTTAAATTAAATTTAGCACCTAAATTAGTACTAATTAGTACTATTCAGTAATAATTACTACTAATCATATATATTCAGTAATAATTACTACTAATCAGCACCATTACTAATCATTACTAATCACTAATAACTAGTAGTTATTAATAATAAAACTCACTCTGACTTGCAGGATATTTATTGGTGTTGAAAGCTGAGCTGTAAGTGTCACACTCCTTCCACCCGTCCCCAGCCCTTTCTAAGTGGTAGAAATCCCACATGTGCTGTAGACACTCGTAGTCCATCTCATCGTGGTTCTGATCAACACAGGAACCCACTGCCCTCTCCTGAACGGTGGAGTTAGAATACTACCTTATAATGCAATACTACCATATAAGGCAATACTAACCTATAAGACAATACTACCCTATAAGGCAATACTACCTTATAAGGCAATACTACCTTTTAAGGAAATACTACCTTTTAAGGCAATACTACCTTATAAGTCAATTATACTACCATATTAAGTAATACCCAGAAGAGTTTTTGAACAACCATGACTCAAATTATAGTACCCTGACCATTAAAACCAGCATGGAAATGATCGATTCGATATTTCAAGAATCTGTGGCTGCTCCAAGATCTTTCCTTGCTTGATAATAATCCAGGATTCAAATAATTTTAATCCTAATATGGGCATCACGTGTTTAATTGACCAACCCCTCCCACCCCAAACTCTCGAAATAGTGAATACATAATGACGAGCGAACAAACAGTATCTTTACCTTGAAGTTGAGTATTGGGTTGGTGGAAGACAGCTGATAGAGTACGGAACAAACCACGAACAGAAACCACGTCATACCAACACTCCTTTAAACTCCTACTAAAACCATTATTATATTATAATTTATATATAATAACCTTATATGGGTATCACGTGGGACTCCTTATATGGACATCACGTGAAACCCCGTCATACGAACACTATTATCCTTTAAACTCCTACTAAAACCATTATTATAGCAATTTCTTGATAATTAAGCTATATTAATATATCCTGATCACGTAACCACGTGACTGTCGAATAAAACACTTTTGGAAAGTGTAGTGAGCTAATTAACTATTGACAGACCTAGTTATAGCCCGAGCAAAACAAATTGCTTTATGAAGGAGCAATCTATAAGGACCACCCACAAATCAGAGATTGAGCGGTGAAAAGCATCAATTTAAAACGAATTAAGCACTATATAAATAGACCAAAAACAGGTACTCAGTATAAACAAAGGAACCTGTGATCATGGCTGAAAAGAGACAATGTTAACTGATATCCTATAAAAACCAGGTTATCTAAAGTGCACAGTTGCTGATCTTTTCATAATTACTTTTAAATAAATGTAAAAGTGGTGTAAAAAAGTGGTCTTTTCGCTAAAAAAGATAAAAGGTATACAACTTGTAGTAACTATTAACTACATAGAAGTTGTTACCACAACAGACATCTGATCTGCCATTAATTCACCTAACACATCTCCGCAAGCAATCCTCGCGCGCCTAACCATGTGTTTTTGCGCCACTGCAATCCTACCATCTGGAAATTCCTTGAAGCCCTCAAACTAGAGCAAGGACTAACAGACCAGAAGATCACGGAAAGACTGATGAGAAGACCTCCACCCCAGAGAGCAGCCAAGTGGATAAGGTACGACTCCCTTCTGGAATCCTTCATGCAAGCCTACGATAACCAGGAGTACGAAGTCATCGATTATCTCTCTGCTGTTTCTGCTGCACTATGAATTCGACATTTGATTATATATTATTGATTATATATTATTGATATTATCGGTTTTACGATATTGGGATTTTATGATATTTCGATTGTACTATATTTCTATGACAGTTATACATTTTACTTAAATAAGATTATTTGCTTTAGTAATATTCTAAAAGTAGAATTATAGTAGAGGCTCTTACGGGCATTGTCTGCTCGATACGTTAGGGACCCCAGATACACCTTACTAGACGTATTTTTGACCGTAGAATCGATTGAAAGTGGTTTCAAGATGATTGGACTGATTGTTCTGGGGTAAAATCGCAAAAAACCGATTTTTGGGCCAAAAATAGGCCAAAAAACCATGTTTTTTGATATTTTGAGCAAGTTAATTTTGTTGGCATGTCGGCAAAACTTGCATAAAGATAGCTAAAAGACAGCCGCACAAGATTGTATAAAAATAAAACAAATCCCTCTATTTGTTCTGAGGTAAAAATCCAAAAAAGTGGTAAAAATTTTGACTTTTTTGCTTTAAGTTTGAATAATTTTTTGCAGTTGTATTAAATCAACCCAAAAATAGTCACATCGTGTTTGCCTAAATTTTTCCTTTCCGAGAAGTACCCACTTCATATACTTAATCGAAGTTTGAATATTGTCACTCCGCAAGCGTTTTTGCCAAATTTTCGACGCGCACTACGCGCAAAAGCATTTAGTTGTTATCAATTGGCACCCGCGCGTTCATCATAAATTTCAAACAGCTATAACTCAGCGAGATTATGTCCGTTCTAGCTCATATTTTCACACTAAATAGAAAATAATGTGATCTTATTGCTGACAAAATATGGATATAATTACTTTATTTGCCTTAGAGTAATAGACTGTCAAAGTTTAAAACGCGCATTGGTATAGCACGTGACTAATAAGGCCAAATTTATACTTCTTAACATATTATCGATCCTTAGACATCATACTATTGTGTCCAATTAGCGGTTAGGTCTCTAAACTCGTAGCAGAAAACACGTCTTTTTGCCCGTAAGAGCCTCTACTATTAAAGAAAAGTAAGGAAAAGTCGATATAAGATAAACTTGTCATTATATAGTGTTGTCATTATATAGTCCGTTTTGCAGACTATATAATGACAAAGATCAGCTGTCATTACAAAGTGCTTGTCATTATATAGTGTTGTCATTATATAGTGTGATTACCTATTATATATATTGAGAAGTTGGTTGATCAGCGTGTGAGGTAGCAATGTTCTGCAAACACGCGATGCCCATATAAGGAGTGTTTAGCAATGTTCTGCAAACACAGCAGCTATCTGTTTTATTCTGCTGGATAAAGGAACTGCATAATAAATCCTTGGAGGGACATAACAAATCAGGGTTCTAAGACTAAGGGTATAATTTCAGTATCAGCTATACAGTATAAACTGTATGCTGTATTATTACTAATAGGCGGTGCACGATAAAAATAAACTTGCTCGGATTTTCAAAATTTTTGTACCATCGTTTTCTAGAGACTGTGAAAATTTTCACAGTACCAAATTTATCATACCTTTTTGGAATGATTAGTGAGTTTCGCCTAGGTACCATATTTGATGGTGCGCGGCTTTTGGAGCAAAATTAGGTGTAAAAGTCGCGTAATTTGACGAAATTCGTTGATTTTTGTCGTATTATTCTGTCATATCTTCGGTTCCTGAACATGAATCATGCTGAAAATTTGTCAGAACCTTTCAATCATACTTAACTACCGAACCTAATTTAGTTGGGAGAGATTGGCCTTGATTAAGAGGTCTAAAAATGACAAAATAGGTATAAATTCGTTGATAACTCAAATTCTGAGCATCGAAATTGCTGAAACTAAATTAGGTTCAGTAGAACATAAGTGTTTACGTAAGCTGACCGAATTTCAACAAAATTGTTATATGGGAAGTATTATAACTTTTCGATTGTTTCAAAAATAATGTGCTGGCCGAAATAAGAGCTAAAAAACCATTCAATGGTCAGCGCGCGCGTCTTATTGTCGATGGCGCACTGCCTATTACTAAGTAACGACTACAAATATATAGTGTTAAATCAGAACTGCACGATTCCGCACACCCTTTGTATATAGTCAAACATGCTGATCTTTTGCCACTATGTATAAGAAAATGGAGATTATCATTAGTGTAGGTGCAGGTTATATCTCCGCCGAAAGCACACTCCCCGAATTGCGCGCATTCTTGCTGTATAGTAATTTCTTTCAAAATTCATGAATCGAGATAAATTATTTTGCAATGTATTCAGAGTTAATATATGCAATTATACAAATCACTTGGAATACCTTCAAAAGAGAATAACAAGCTCAAAAACGCTACTGACGTAGCGTAAGTACAATAGTCAATAGCGTGAGAATCTTTTGTTGAGGTGCCTCGAAAGTGATCTTAAACGATTCCCCGTTCAATTTAGGTCGTAGAACATCAACTTAGTGCATAATCAAGGAAGTTATAGACATATTTCATACGTATCAAATTGGATGTGCTTTTGGCGGAGAGATAACCTACGCCATTCATAGTGTATCAGTCACACAAAATGGAAAAAAAGGAGAGTTGCAGTTTATCAAGCTGACCAACAGCAAAGATCCTACTTGCTATTCTCTTATGGGCCAAATTGCAATTGGTCCAACTTTTCTAAAAAATACGATTTAAAAGTATGATGCTGACAAGGAGTTTTCTTAGTTAAGCTAAATCCATTTTGCGTGCTTAGCCCCCGGCCCAGCAGTGGATTTGTAAATTAAATAGGAGCGATGTGGACTCTAAACGTTAGTTCAATGTCCCTAAATAGCCTTCCATGTCTAGAAGAGACTTGTAAGAAAATGTCACTAAACAAAATGTTACGTCTTATTTGTAACCATATAATATGATCCATAGTGACGCAATAATAAGCAATAATAAGCAATATTAATAACTGACGAGTTCGTTGTTATTGTTACATTATAAGATCATACAATTTCACTAATTAAACTGGGCCGACTGATCTATTTATAACAGATGGCCCACGTGATGCCCATATAAGGAGGCCCACCAGCCACCTCTACACGTGATGCCCATATAAGGAGGCCCGCCAGCCACCTCTCTACGTGATGCCCATATAAGGAGGCCCACCAGCCACCTCTACACGTGATGCCCATATAAGGAGGCCCACCAGCCACCTCGGAAACTGTATTGTAGTAGCCGGGAGGAAGTTGTATTGTAGTAGCCGGGAGGAAGCTGTATTGTAGTAGCCGGGAGGAAGCTGTATTGTAGTAGCCGGGAGGAAGCTGTATTGTAGTAGCCGGGAGGAAGCTGTATTGTAGTAGCCGGGAGGAAGCTGTATTGTAGTAGCCGGGAGGAAGCTGTATTGTAGTAGCCGGGAGGAAGTTGTATTGTAGTAGCCGGGAGGAAGCTGTATTGTAGTAGCCGGGAGGAAGCTGTATTGTAGTAGCCGGGAGGAAGCTGTATTGTAGTAGCCGGGAGGAAGCTGTATTGTAGTAGCCGGGAGGAAGCTGTATTGTAGTAGCCGGGAGGAAACTGTATTGTGACCAAGGAACTGGCTATTATACAAGACCTGGTTGCAAGCTGTACTGTGATTAGGTGGTGGAGATAAATACAGGATCTGCGGAGGAATACGGCGAAGATTGCCATTTACTTGGTAATGTAATAGTAGTTTAGTGAGTAAACATCATGATGTCCTCGAGATCCTGTGATGACGTCACTGTGATGACGTCACACTGTGATGACGTCACACTGGAGGGGTCACACTGGAGGGGTCACACTGGAGGGGTCACACTAGAGGGGTCACACTGGAGGGGTCACACTGGAGGGGTCACACTGGAGGGGTCACACTGGAGGGGTCACACTGGAGGGGTCACACTGGAGGGGTCACACTGGAGGGGTCACATTAGTTGTGCATCACCACCCTACTACTAGAGTAATTAGGTGGGGAGGAGATCGTTAGCTAAACGTGGGGAGTCTGCATTTGTTAAGTGGCTAGGTTTTGAGTTTTCTGAGTATTTATATATTTAATAATAATCTAGGAGGAAAACAAAACTGATAACTAATTTTCTATTGTCAGCTGCAGACGCCAGGTATTGAAGCTTACTAAAATGCTCACATCGTCACATAGCTTAAATCATAATCACATAATATAACCTACGCAGATCTCTCGAATATTCGGATTACAGACGGTAATAAAGCAAGAATGGTATAAAAGGTAAACGTTATTGATAATTGATCACGTCAAATTGCGTGGATTCACTAATTAGGTAATTATGATCAGAACCCAGCTGCGCGGCGCACGAGCTTGTGTAACCTACAGATCTCTCCAAAGTCCTAACGACAAAAACTCACAATACATGGATGATGGGCTGTACAACAATAGAACGGAGGCCAGATGGTTGAGAAACAAGCTCACTGTGACTGAGAGAGTGAGAGGCAGAGTGAGGCACTCCTCCTTGTAGTTATACTCTTATAGCCCAGCAGCTGGGATGACGTGTTAGACGTTAGTTGCTGGATCGTTCTGTTGTGTAGGAGAAGGAACAAAAGGGCGTGGCACATTGCTCTAAAGCAACATCACTAACAGTAACCACTCTCACTCTCTCTCTTAAACTCAAGGGTTTGGTTAAATTTGAATTACAGGTCTAAATTTGAACGATTAGATTAGTTACTGACTTTGTTATCGTTAACTATAATCAATAGTCCGCGGCGGGCGACGCACTTTTTTATCAAGTTTAATTTAAACGTTCAATTACAGCTGCTCAGGTGTTGTAATTGTTTATTGTATTCCTTATATGGGCATCACGTGGGACTCCTTATATTGTTTATTGTCTATTAGTTTTTAAAACTCGTAACCATGGTAACCGTCTCTATTAGTTTTTGCATATTAATTCGGTTTAACGGAAATTAATGCATTGGTTTATTGAGGGTTAGGGCATATACCAGGGATAGTTGGTATGATGGGACCAGGGACTGGTAACAACCCAATCACTGCTGTATACCTTGTTAAGCTAAAGGTAAACAGTAAACAGTAAACAGTAAACAGATTGATGGAGCTTGTAAACATCCCTACGTCTGATGGTCGACGACTGATAAACAATAGGAGAACTAGAATACGGTCTGCTTAGTGGTTCTCTCCTACTCGTTACCATGCAGTAACCGTCTCTCCTACTCGTTACCATTAATTACTCATTACGTACTGATTAATATTAAGATAATCCCAAATCTTACTGTTCCCGAGCCTTCTACAAGAATAGGTGGTTTAACGTAACATAGTAAAGAATACTACAATGTAGTGCGAGGTTTCGCTATCTAGAGGGCATGATAACGCGCCAATCGTAACCATGGTAATCGTCACCACAATTATGATGATTTAAGTTCAGGGACAAAGAAGTTAATCTTGAATAATACATCGTCGCTGTCCCTTATTTCGCCACGACTTTGTCCTTATTGAGAAATTATGATAATTCATCCTCTGCCTATTCGGATAGAGTAACAATACATTCCTTATATATGGGCATCACGTGGTTCTATATTTCCTTATATGGGCATCACGTGGTTCTATATTTCCTTATATGGGCATCACGTGGTTCTATATTTCCTTATATGGGCATCACGTATAATAATAGAGTAACAGAACTGCTTCTTAGCGCTCCAACTCTTTTGTGAGATATATTGTACTTTTCTACATTCCACGTTGTAGACTCAATTTAACTTAACTTTTGAGAAATGGTAACCATGGTAACATGGTCTCCAAGTTAACTGAGTAAACTTGGTGATAGTAGTGTTGTGAACCAGGGATCTAAAAATATACAATTTCTGATTATTTATTTTTAATTGTAGTTGACGAAATGAGAGTCTCCACTCAGTGTGTTAAAACATAATTCTTTGTCGACGTTTCGGCTACATGCCTTTGTCATAAACAGGACGTACTGAAAACTTACATAGCTGCAAAGATACAATGTTAAAATAATCTATTAAATTAATCTATTAATACTACGAAATATAACAACAACAAATAAATCCTCTTCCTCGCATGAACACAGATATAGATGGCTTGATAATTTCACTTACACAAAAAAAAAAAAAAAAAAAAAAAAAAAAAAAAAAAAAAAAAAAAAAAAAAAAAAAAAATATCCTTGGATCGGAGAACATTGTAATCCATATCTTCCTCGTATACCAGAGTTTTATTGTACATGGAAAACACACAAAGATATTTCACCGCCACCCTTGCGACCTGTCACATCCCAAGTAGATTCACCAGCGGAAAGACTAGGTCATTTTGTTACCAATATACTTAACCAAGCACTAGACTTGGTTCCCGTTAACACTAAGAACACTCCTCAATTTCGGCAAAAATTAGAAGATCATTGGATGGGAAGAATAAACACAAACCACATAATGTTCACGGCTGATGTGAAAAGCCTCTACACAAATGTCCCACTTGTAGAAGGACACAAAGTTATCATAAAGTTCATAAAAAACAACAGGGATAAAATCGATACAAATGGAATGGACCTCGGGGACTTTGACTTGGTCCTCAAATCAGTCATACAGGCAGGATACTTCAGATTTGATTCAAAGTTCTACCAACAACTAAATGGACTCGGCATGGGTGTGAAACCAGCTCCACCATTTGCAATAATCTATGTTTACTGTACAATCGAATTGCCTCTGATGGAGAACGACTATTCCTACATACCAGAAGCTCCCCCCAAACCAGTAGGACTCCCAATCATAGATATGTGGGATAGATATGTAGATGACTGCTTCAGCATAATCGAGGGAGATGAAGACACAGTACTATTGCTGTTTAACTACATTAACTCGTTGAACAGGGATATACAGTTCACATATGAGTGCTCCAAAGATTGTGTTGCATTTTTGGACCTGAACATCTATATGAATACGGTGGACAAGAGGTTAGATTTTTCCTTATTTGTTAAACCAACCAGCCAGGACATATTCCTAAATTATGCCTCTGCTCACCCTCGTAGAACGATTCTGAACTCAGCCAAAAATGAGATCAGAAGGGCTATCAATAACAGCTCCACACCTGAACTACAAGATCTCAGTATCAACAGAATAGCTGATATGCTAAAGAAGAATAGTTTCCCTCCTAATATTGTCAAGAAACTTATTCGAGAAACACAGAATACACTGGATAAACAAAATGCGCCTAAAAAGAACTCAAAAATAGCTTACTTATCATTACCTTATATAAATGAACAGACGTGTCGAAAAGTCTACTATACCCTAAGAAATCAAAACCTCTTGGATTCCACCAGGGTAACATTCACATCAGGTCAACGTCATGGAAGCTTTAACGTCTCATGGAAGATCTAGCCTACAGCAAACAAAATGCAATAAACAAAGTGACAGCAAATGCTACCAGTGCGATAAATCCTGCATGATCAAAAACATTTGCTACCAATTAATATGCCAAATATGTAATAAGTCCTACATTGGGGAAACTGGTAGGTTTAAAAGAAGTAGAGCCTGGGAACACTACAAATCAGTAAGGGATGGCAACAAATCTACGGCCATGGGGAAGCACTACCTAGAGGAGCATGCAGACATTTCAATGCCAAACATACCGTTTCGGTTTATAGTTCGAAAAAGATGTAAAGACTATGTGGACCGTCAATTGTGGCAGTCGGTTCTAATAAAACGTGAAAACCCAGAAATAAATACTCAATTGTCTGAGTCCGTAAATGAAGGTGATTGGATAAAATATACTTGGAAGTTAATGTAATATTGAACTTATAAACCTAGATAATTTTTGATTAATCAGTTTTATGAAGGAGCTATCTTGGTAAAATGTTTGTAGTATTATGAAGAATTGTTCACGGCTTGTTGCGGTTTGGATTCTTTTAGCCGTTATATTTTATGTTTCTTTTGGATAAATTTGTGATTGTTGTTGTGTTTCAAGATGTTATTTGTTGTTGTTATATTTCGTAGTATTAATAGATTAATTTAATAGATTATTTTAACATTGTATCTTTGCAGCTATGTAAGTTTTCAGTACGTCCTGTTTATGACAAAGGCATGTAGCCGAAACGTCGACAAAGAATTATGTTTTAACACACTGAGTGGAGACTCTCATTTCGTCAACTACAATTAAAAATAAATGATTGACCCACTCATAAGAGCAAAACAAGATTATCAATTTCTGATTATAATGATAACAATTGATTATATCCAATATCAGATATTTATTAAATTCTAATAAAAACCACGTTTTTCAAATAAATTAATGCAAATTTGACGAATTTCAACAAAATTACAATCAAACAAATAATTTTCAAATATCCAAATGGTAACGAAATCGCTTAATTTGTAAATGACAGCTTCACATATGCCTAAATAAAGTCGGGACAGAATTAATCAATACACAGAGCTTGAAAGGTTAACACTTTAGAAAGGTTAACACTTGGAAATTAGGTTATTTATGGAGATTAATCAATATTTGCAATTCTACAGAAATACTCGTAAATAACAAATAAGGACAAAAAATAAAATGCAAGCTAAACCACCATTAATTTCTATTGCAGTTTCTTTACTGAGTGAGGGTGATTACAATAACGCTGTTAAAACACTCCTTATATGGGCATCGCGCGGGACTCCTTATATGGGCATCACGTGGGACTCCTTATATGGGTATCACGTGGGACTCCTTATATGGGCATCACGTGGGACTCCTTATATTGGCATCACGTGGGACTCCTTATATGGGCATCACGTGGGACTCCTTATATGGGTATCACGTGGGACTCCTTATATGGGTATCACGTGGGACTCCTTATATAGTTATATGGGTATCACGTGGGACTCCTTATGTGGGTATCACGTGGGACTCCTTATATGGGTATCACGTGGGACTCCTTATATGGGTATCACGTGGGACTCCTTATATGGGTATCACGTGGGACTCCTTATATGGGTATCACGTGGGACTCCTTATATGGGCATCACGTGGGACTCCTTATATGGGCATCACGTGGGACTCCTTATATGGGCATCACGTCGGTATTAAGATTCTTACGACGGTCTTCTCCCCATTAACCAGAGATGACAGTGAATAGATTTGCAGCACGGCTTATCGTTATCAAGATCGTTACACTTACTCCGATACACCAAACACTCTGCAGAGGAAGCTCATTAATGATAATTAAAATTTAATCATTAATTTGATTAATGATAATTATAATTTAAATACATTTATTTTATAATATTACAAGTTATACTCAGATAGATTCGCGAATAATAATCTCTATGCAAGATAAATCTGGTGCCAGTAAAAGAGAAGACCTAAATCAGTAAAAGAGAAGACAATTAAGAACTAATAAAGAAGACATACTGTTACTGGCAGGATACTTCTTGGTACTGAAGGAGGAGAGGTATGTACCACAGGCTACCCAACTATCTGCAGCCCTCTCCAGATAGTAGAAATCCCACATATACTTCAAACACTCGTAATCCATCTCATTGTGGTTCTGGTCAATACAGTGCCCCGTTCCTCGCACCTGAGGGCGATTACAATAACGCTCCTTATATGGGCATCACGTGATATCACACCTTATATGGGCTTCACGTGATATCGCACCTTATATAGGCATCACGTGATATCGCACCTTATATGGTCATCACGTGATATCGCACCTTATATAGGCATCACGTGATATCGCACCTTATATGGTCATCACGTGATATCGCACCTTATATGGGCATCACGTGATATCGCACCTTATATGGGCATCACGTGATATCGTACCTTATATGGGCATCACGTGATATCGCACCTGAACAATCTTAGTTTAAACATATCCATCTCACATTTATTAAAATCTTTAATAATAATAACTACTTGGTGAGATTCATGCGAGTCTTTTGTGATTTAAAAGATGAAAATGTTAACAATTTGTTTGATTTTTCTTTTTGAATCGTTTAAATTGCACAATGATATAAACCACATCGGTACAACTATAATTCATGCTTATACGTGTTGCTGACTGGTAAATTGAAGTGGAAATGAAAAAAAGTTATACCTGCAGGACGGGATCAGCAGCACACGACCGTGAGAAAACAGAAAACAGCACCGTCAGTAGGGTCAGCTTCATTGTAGCGCTCAGTAGCTTTGAATATTAAAATAGTGTCCTGCCTATGGTTTAGTGGATAGTGAATTGTGTCACGTACACAAATATTATCAGATTGAAGTGGAAAAGCAGCAATGAACTTCTGTAGTGCTCATTACATAGAACAGTTCAGTAAATCTACTGTTAATAGAAAACCAAAAGGTATGAACAAACGTTTTACTGGTTCCAAAGGTTTACAGGTTATTACAATAACAGTAAAGCTTAAGAAGACCAGACCCAAAGCTTATTTTAAGAGCTAAACTCGTTAAACTCTGAACTGTGAATTTGAAACACTAAAACACTAACAACGGAACAATGAAGTCAGACGTTCAATTTCAGACAATAAGCTCTGATGCTTCGGAGTGACACCTACAGCGTCACTGCGTTACCATGGTTACATTCTATTATTACACGAACCTACCTTATCGGACCTTATTTGGACGGACATTACTTGAACGGACATAATTATGAACGGACATTAATATGAGCGCTAGAAGGCAATCAAAAGCATCAAAAATCCGAACTTTTTCATCTTTTTTTTTAACGTTTTTTTAATTTTAGCAAATGATTTTTAAATCCAATTTTCATACAGTAAGCAAAATTAAAAATTAAAGCAGTCTTTAATCAGTAAATTATTAAAATATGTTTACATTATCATTATTTTAATATCACATATCATCTTCATCAAATGGGTTTTCGTGCAGGGAGATATCCCGGTTTGTCTTCTACTTTATCGAGATGGGTGGTATGGTAGAAGGTATCGTAGCTGACCAAGTGGGGAGCTAGAGATAAAGCTTAAGCTGTACTTTAGGCATTCAAGTATCTTTCTAGTAGAGCAGTTGGGATCGTTCATTGCCCGGTACGACTACGAGTTGGACAGACAACCAGTTGTAAGACAAACGTGGGGTAGAAGAAGCCGAAGATCAACTTAGATAGTGATCATGTAATAATGTGATATTTACAATTCAGATTGTTGAAATTTTTTAATACCTTGTTTTTATTGATTTAACGATATAGTTTAGTCTAATGATAGCTATTGAAATTGACTGAAATTAAAAAGTTGTCATATTCTGGACAAAAAGTTCGAAATGGAAAAATGTTTGAAAAAATTCAACGGACTTTAACTTGGACGGACATTAATTGAACGTACTTTATTTGAACGGACATTAAGGTGAACGCTAGGGCCTCCAGCGTTCAAGTAATGTCCGTCCAAATAAGGTCCGATAAGGTACTTCGCACTCACGTCTAACATTGATAGCAAACTGTCTGGACACGTTTGTATCTCCTAGCAAATATCTCTTGTCACCTAGCAAATATCTCTTTTTAAGAAATCAGAAGTGGTAAGTTTCTGTTTCATGAAAAGTAAGGGCATGCAGGTGCAAGAAATCGTCCTGTCACCTAGCAACTGTCACCTAGAAACTGTCACATAGCACCTGTCACATAGCAACTATCACCTAGAAACTGTCACATAGCAACTGTCACCTAGCAACTATCATCTAGCAACTATCACCTAGCAACTATCACCTAGCAACTGTCACATAGCAACTGTCACCTAGCAAACTGCCACCTAGCAACTGTCACATAGCAACTGTCAAGCTATCCAAGTGAGGGGTATTTAAAGTATTAGAAGCAGTCTACAAGCATATTAATAGACACAATGCAATCAGGAATTAGTATGGAGATACATGTTATATTGACTAGAGCTGTCAAGGAACGATCCTGCAGAGCCAGACAGCCTTTATATTCTTTGTGAAACACCAATAGTACCCAATAGTTTTAATTATAAGGCAGCACAATATGAAGTGCAAGTATTTAACTCAATTAAACGCAAAATAGCGGAGAAATTATGTTACACCGTATATACGGCGTACAGCTGCTTATCCCCTGACTCTATAATACAGAGAAATAGCAAGAAAATAATCAATAGTGGAATTAAATTGAGCAGAGTGGAATTAAGTTGAGCAGAGAAGTCGATCAGAAATATTGTTATAGTGGTGGTTTAAAGTGGTAATGAAATATTGTTATAGTGGTGGTTTATAGTGGTGGTTTATAGTGGTAATGAATGAACTGATCACAGCTCAACAAAAAGTGGTAAAACTTCAGGATTAGTTCTCGCTGCAAGGCTGTTAATGCAGCACCAGCTGGTTCGAACTTTTGTGATAGTTACACAATAATTGCATTATATGATCTATAATTCTAATTTTAATTTTACTTAACTTTTGGCGAAAAAAAATCCTCGAACTACAGTAGTTACAATATGTGATCTGCAAAGTTACCAGTCTCCAATATGAAACTTGGCTGTGACGCTACGTTAAATGATAAATAACTTTTCCGCCTTTACAATACAAAACACCATGGCTCCAGGCTATAAGAGTAGAGATTACACTGACTAATAGTGACGAGTAATAATGTTAGTTACCTCGGTAACAACCCTAAACTTAATAATGTTAGTTACCTCGGTAACAACCCTAAACTTAATAATGTTAGTTACCTCGGTAACAACCCTAAACTTAATAATGTTAGTTACCTCGGTAACAACCCTAAACTTAATAATGTTAGTTACCTCGGTAACAACCCTAAACTTAATAATGTTAGTTACCTCGGTAACAACCCTAAACTTAATCATGTTAGTTACCTCGGTAACAACCCTAAACTTAGTGCAACAAAACAACACCATGAGATTGCGAAACATAACAAACAAAGGACCGTCACAAACCTCCCAATAGACGAGAACCTCAACGTTAACTGGTATAGAGTTGTGTTTGTATAAAGGAGCCATTAAAGCTTTATTAAAATTATGTTCTGTTTTTTATCTTCTTAGTTCTATATATTATATATAGTTCTATATATATATAGAACTATTGAACCTACGTGAACAAAAGGTAATTGATAACGCTTATAAAAAGAGAAGGCTAATGAACTGATATCTATAATTGTTAGCTGCATATCTTTAGTTAAATATTTGGGGGTAATTATGCGCTGAAAAGGGGGGGGGGGGCGTGGTGCGCAGTTTATAGCACGTGCAATCCTTGCCTATCCTTATTAAGAACTATGAAAACTAGTTCATTATGTACAGCGAGAAAGAAGTAATGGAAAACAGCTGGCTCCAAAAGATGAAACTAAATACACGAAATGGCGGTCAGATTAATTTTGTACACTATTTTAACTGTGTTGTGATGACCACAATGGAATTTGTTGTGAAACGTAAGTTAAACAGCATCATTAGACATTGTAACAGTTAGCGTAACTTAAACAAGTAACAAATTTTTACCAGCTGTTAAATGATTAAGTAATTGTTAAGTGCGTCTTCTAGACTGCAGACCATTTTCTTGCTTAAGAAATAGAAATAGCTTATGATTTAATTAATGGTTAAGTAATTGAAAACAGTGCCTCTATATACTAGACCTGCAGGCCATTTTCTTACGTAGGATTAAACTAATTTGATATCAAATGATTAGGACACAAAAAAACAACTCAACGTGTCTAAGTTGTCCTTTATCCTTAGTTTGCAGAACAAACAGCAGGTCACAACTCAAACAAAATAACAATGTTCTGTCAGCAGCTCCCTCTTAAATAAGTGAATAACTCACATAACCATTGTACAATATCTGGCACACACAGAGTGACTGCAGACACATCATCACGTGATCGTCGGCACCTTATCACGTGACTGAAGACACATCACGTGGTAACTGAGTAATAACCCGTCCCTTTCTTTCTTTTGATTGGTCAACGTCGACTGTAAGCCTTCCTTGCGGTGGCTTTCACAACGCGTCCCCATTCTCCAACTCCTGCTGCTAGAGAGAGAGACTCCCAAGTTATATACCATAATTATATTATACATAGATATCGACAACAGACTCCGAGAGTCTTGAAGTTCTGTTACCACCGCCCCTGGTGCAACCCCTTACAGCTTATCACGTGACTGAAGACACATCACGTGGTAACTGAGTAATAACCCGTTCCTTGAGCTCCATTATCTAATTAACAAACCATTAAACTTTGTAGGACCTTGTAACAGACTGGTTAGTTCATAGCACTGATACTGTGTGTTTCTCACTTGGTGGTGGTGGCTTTAAATATTGCAGGTTTTCATGAGGGCGCAGTGTTATTATGGGCATCACGTGTTATTGTAGACATAGCGATCTTACTTTAGATATAGCCATGGGCACTTCTTAAAAGCATTTGATACTGGTAATCACGTATTAACTTTAAGCAGTAAGTATAATAAGGTTAGTATCAGGGGTGACTTATAGGATTGGGGCCAGGACGCTGCTTTAATTTGTCAACATGGAATGTGTGACTGGCAGACAAAAGTTTTAATAGAAATTGCGACATTCATATACTATAAGTCACGCTTACAGTAAATTACTGCTATTGCAAAAGAAAGAACTTACTGGAAGGCGCGAGCTTCTCTTAAGCTCCTTATATGGACATCACGTGATACGTACTTAAGCTTCTCTTAATAGTCAGTGTAATAAGCGCCAAGCGCGAGCACAGAACTTTTTTTCTCCGATTTCGATAAATTTGGTACCAAAAGTTGTCTAAAAATGTGAATAAAATAAATCCACCGTGTAGCAATTTTCGGAAAAAATGCTACACGGCGCTTGTTCGCCGCGCGTGCTTTTTTCGCGCAAATTTTTAGTTTTTGGCCTATAACTTTCACATTTTCAATTATTATCACACAGTTATTATGGTAATGGTATCGTAATCAGCTCATCGAGACGAAACTTAACTTTTAGTACTAATATTTTAAGATTTAAAGGAATTTTTTTAAAAAAGTTTTTAATCTGAACACAAGGGTGTGTAAAATTTTGGTATCAAAAGTTGCGTCTGATTAAGCTTATTAATATTACGATTCTGTAAGAATTATTTCAAAATATTCAATATTTTAGGAGTTATACGCATTTTAAGCAATAAATTAACCATTTTTCGTCCATATTACACTTTTGCAATGCACAGGAGGCCCACATACATTTCAACGAATCGTGCTACACGGTGAATTTTCATTATTCACAGTTAAAGGCAACTTTTGGTACCAAATTTATCAAAATCAGAGACAAACAATTCTGTGCCAACTCATGGCGCTTATTACATAGACTATAAGTCATTTAACTGCAGATCTAAATAAATACACAAATTCAGGTGTCATCAGAAAAGTTGCGTTTTATTATTTATAACGATCCATTTTGCATTTTTCACAACTTTTAGCAAACAGCTGAAACTTATGATTAGAATTAGAAGGGTAAATATAGACTGTCACACACTTCAATCTTACAAGTAGTGTTATCGCATCGCATATTAACACTGTTCCTAACTATATAATACTATTGACTACAACACTACTAGTGACAGTGTACTATACATTCCGAATTTTATTCCATCACAAAAAAATAGCAAAATTTGTTAGAAAATATCACGATCAATTTACAATATAATATGACTAATGACTACGTTTCGGTTTACTAGTTAGCAGCTTTATTTTAAAATTCAACAGACTTTAACCTGGCTAACTAATTTGGCTGACTCGTTACAAACCGATAGTTGACTTACACTTAACGGATGATGAATAATCACTCTACACTCACAATTATTTAATTCCGCAACCCGTTAACTCTAGCTGCTACCTGAGGCTGAACGACTATTCGAAATCCTAACCCGATCTAATCTGATCCCAATCCTAATATAACCCTAACCCTTAATCCTTAACAAAAGCATATGCTGAAACCCTAACCCTAACGAGAAATTATACTAACTTCCTTATATTATGGTCATATCACGTGATCGAGACAGTTTTCTGACAATGATTCTGGATTTGGAATCAGCGTCCGAAAATATATTGATGCAAGTTAGTTTCAACTGTCGTCTGTCGGGGGGGCCTTTTACTTTTATAAGGACAATCTCGAAGATCGACTAAGGAGTGGTTTAGCACGCTTGTGAAACTTTTCTACTAACTGCAATTTAAGTACCGAATTGCAACTTTTAACAATTAAAATAATACATAATATAATATTACTATTATACACTTCACACTTGATAGATTGGTAATTATGATACATTATTTGAGGACGCACCATTAGCAAAGTCTCAACTTTCATTTACAATATTAACTTATAGTTATAAATACCCGCGTCTTTGGATTTTGATTTAACGGGTGATAATCGTAAAATTATTGGTCCAAATATTCGACTGTCGACCGAGTCCAACTCAGTGTGCAGTGCGCGTCATGGCAGGTTATTAGGAAATTTTAAGCACGTGCAACGTGATGAGATGCGCGCGTGCAGTTCTTATTATAGGAAAATCGCGCGCATATATACTGAAAATTTAGTTGCCGCTCCTGTTTGCTTACGTTCAGAGTTTTACTCTGTTTCCTTTCTTTGATCAGTTCCAGTTATGCGCAACGTTGAACTACGATCTTATCCTTTATTTTAAGTGCATAATTATGAATAGATCTTATCTGTTATCGGTTTCGAGGATGGCTAGTTTCTCCGGACAAATGTTTTGTTATTCTCAAAATCTAGTTTTATGTTCTGTAAGTGTACTTAGTAAAAAAAGTAGACTAGATACTATTTCTGCTATTATGAGTGAATTTAAATACTGATACTGATAGCCAATAAGATATCATTAAGCAGATTAGTCCCGTTTTTAATATTTTGACAGTCTTCATTATTTGGGGTAATTTTAGTTGTTTCCAAACCACGAATGACGAATATAATCACTTTGTCTATTCTGGCCCATTCATATTATTGTATAAAACATTTCGATACAAAACACTGTAATATTTAGCAATAAATCAGAAAGGAAACACAATTAAATAATAGTAATAATAGTAATAGTTAATGGGTGAAATTATCTGCAAATCATAATTACTAGCCTAATATATTTGTACAAATGTCACCTCAGTGGCACAATTGGTTAGTACAATTGGTTAGTCTTGGCCCTTTAGCCCGGAGGTTGCGAGTTCGAAACCCCGGCTGGGTCAAAATTTCAACAATCGTCAATTAGTTCAAGCATTAAAGGCTTGTGTATACATGTTTCAGAACAAGAATTGCGCCCGTTGTTTCGTTTTGGCGGACGCTAGATTTCCATTTCACATTTACTATAAATTTAAGTATAAGCTCCAATCAGCTCACTTCAATCTTCATGATAATAATATTGATAAATTATGCATCAAATACGGGAAACACTTGAAATTCAGTTCAATTGCCGTAGAACTTAACTTGTATCTGTAATTCAAGAAATTATCAGCAAAGGTAAACTATACTCGTGTACACATCAATACACTACGCGTGCCACGTACAAATTGGGCGTATTACCTAATAGTAATATTATACATTACATGCATCATATAATACATTAAAACACAGTCGCGCTGCGCATTCATAGATCAAAGGCTATCTATATATCACATCTCCGCAAGCAATCCTCGCGCGCGCGCAACTTTTTCGTTGCATGGTAACGAACGGAAGGACACACCACATATTTAAACCCACCTATCTCGTTCTCCAAAATCCACGTTTTTCTGCAAAAACCTCCATTCGTAACCTTTCACTATTGCCTTTTTTCAAAAGGGTGAAAAGGAAAAAATAGAACTAGTCACCCACCAACGTTATTACACAGTAATATTAAATTTAATGCCGTATAATACGAGCAAAGCTACTCAGTTTATCTAACAAACGTAACATATGAGGTGAATCGTCTAATGTTCTACCCTCCCTAAATGGGAATATAAAAACAGAGCAGTAAACACGTGCTCTGGATAACGCTAAGTAAAGTCTGGATAACATTAAGTAAAGGTTAGTCAGGTCCTCCTCCCTGTACCACCCCACTGTGTGCAGTACTATTACAGCTGGCCACTGAGCAGAATAACTATCCTCACTGTGACACACAGCAATCTTACTATCAGTGTTATCACATCTCCTATCAACACTGTCCTTAACTTGTGACAATACACTACTAGTGACTTCAGTAACTATACCTATATCAGAATGCTTTAATCCATGCACAGCAGTACATAATCTATCTAATTCATTATTAAATACATGCATAATACTAGTAACATTGAAATCATTAAACACATGTATGACAGGTAATGTACCGTGTATAAAGTGTCCTGGTAATTGTGTAGGTAAAACTAATTTCAAAATATCTGATTTAAGAGAACATAATTTAACGAATTCATCTCTAATTACAGATAAAATATTCGATAAATCAGACGTATTTCTCAAGTTCATAGATAAATTAGTACTCTGATGAGGTGCTAATATATCAGTTAAAACATTAGCTACGATTGAAATGACACCTGTGTTTAATATCGCCCAACCCTGAACATAATCACATGCTATCCACACATTCTTATCTGCTGATAATTCTAATAACTTGTTAACCAGTGCACTCCACATTTCAGCTGTGATATCATATCTAATTATTGTCTGTATATCATCAACAAACAAATGATAACCACTCAATAAACTAAGTCTATCTGTTAACTGTGTGGTTTTTGGATAACCTGTTATATCCACAATAATAACACTACACGAACTCTCTGTAATCAGATCAGCTAGTTGTGCGGGAGTGTGTTCATTATCACAAGTGCTTATCAGTTCATATGCTATACTAGCTTTATCCAATGCATCTTGATAATGCTGTGAATTGTTCCCTTCTCCAGTAAACTTAAATACAACTACTTTATTGTCACTATCAGATTGTATAAGTTGTATTATCTTACCACACAATATGACAGTTTTTCCCGCCCCTGCGGGTCCATTGATCCACAACATATTCTCACTTGAATTAAACACACTATTTTGTTGTGTGGTTAAATTGAGAACCCCAACGTATTTGCTTATGACATCAGGAGCTTTTACAACCCCGGGATTTTGTCACGTTTTTTACCTTTCTTAGGCTCGAAAGTTATGTGTCCTTCCTTAAGTTGCTTGTTGACATCCATAATACAACGTCCTAAACTGCACTTAGATTGATCACATTTGTTTCTCTCTGTGGCCCATATGGCTAACAAAATGTTCCTTGCTTTCTCATGATAATCTTGATTGTATCCAGATATTGGTATTTCCGTATTTGATACTGTTTCTTCAGAAGCTCTTCCAACAGATGGTATGGCCTGAGTTACATTGTCTGCCCACCAAGCATTAAAAGTAGATAAATTCTCATCTGTATCAGTGGCTTTATTGCAGCAGCGAGAAAAGCAGCTTAATAAACGAAAAAAATAGTTTTGTTTAAATTTGTTGTGACTATCAGACAAGTCCTCTTGAAAAATGATAGTCGACAATTCATCATCACTTAACCGGAGTTCTGTTTTTTCACTAAATTGAAACTGTTCTTTAAACTGCTTACTAAAATTAGGGTACGCTGTGAATTGAAGAATAGTTGCGTCCTTGTCAATAAATCTGATCAGTTCCACTACCTTTTTTCTCTGTTCTGCTGACTTCCTGTACGTACCAATCAATGCCTCCAATTTTCTAGTCGTACACTCTCCATTAATATTCTCCATGTTCTTTACCTCGATAATGATAAAACTGTCCGGACAAATAATAATGAAGTCGCACTCACCCTCCTTATTAAACGGATTCTTGCACTTGTTACACTTCTTTTTGTCCCTAACATGACTTTTACCTGCACACAGACAATACTGATCGTGTGTGTACCAAAAACTGTGAAGAACAATAAATTTTCCGTCTAATCCTAATTCTAAAGCCCTATACATTTTGACTTCAGTCTCGTAGTCTGACTGATGTCGTTTGTCGTCTGTAAAGCTGGAACCAGGTTGATTCTCGTCTGGATATCTATCTACGTAGGTTTGTTCTGGTGTTCTTGGAAGCATCGTGGGCTGGTTTCCAGCCGTTGAGCAGTATTCTTCGAATATTTGTTTGCCATTTTCCAAATATTTATTCATTGTTGATTAGTTAATATATCTGAAATGAAATCATAAGCGGTAATATATATACTTTAGTAGCAGTGATGGGTTGAGTGTGTACTTCACTGCATAGAGTATTTTATACTGAATCGCCGAATCGGGTTATAACTATCTCGTTACAGCTACCACAAGTTGGGCTCTCTCCAGTACTGTTTGGCTATTATGGCTAGTCAACTACAATCCCACCTCTTGGAGTATAATATACTTCTAGCTACCTTAAATTCTGCTACCTTCATGCCATGCCAATTCTACCCAGCTACCACCAGCACGTTATAATTCTAGCTCTTTCTAGCAACCTCTGAATGCTGCTTGATGCTCTATATAATAGGTACCACCAGTGGGCAGAAACCACCAATTCCAGCTCTTTTCACCTACTTCGGCTACCTATATTTAGCTACCACCAAGCCAAGGCCCCTCCAACTTTTTTCTGTTTCTAGAAAACTTAGCTTAAGCTACCTCTTGCCTTTTATAGCACCACCAGCGACAATTTATTTTGGTCCTTTCCGGCTGCCTCAACTGCATTCAACAATTTCCAGCTCATTGAGGAAGAGGAAACCTGCTATTTCCAGCAACCTCTGAATGCTACTTCCTGCTCTATCTTGCTTCCATCAATGCAACACCCACTAATTGCTGTTCAGCTACCACCAGCACCTGCAAATTCTAGCACTATCCAGCAACCTAAGACTAACTCCTACTCTGTTAAGCTATCACCAGCACATCAAACAGCAAATTCTAGCACTATCCAGCAAACTCAGACTACCTTATGCTATATCCAGATAGCACAAGCACCCTCGAATTCTAGCTGGAGCCTGGAGGTATCCTGAAGTAGGTAGACGAAGCTAAAATTTGTGGGTACCGATTGCTATTTGCTAATGTTAGCTGGATAGACCAGGAGTTAGTCTGAGTTTGCTGGATAGTGCTAGAATTTGCAGGTGCTGGTGATAGCTGAACAGAGTAGGAGTTAGTCGGAGGTTGCTGGATAGTGCTAGAATTTGCAGGTGCTGGTGATAGCTGAACATGTGCTGGTGATGCTGTTTGATATTATTATTTTAGGATGCACGAAAGTTAAAACTACTGAAGTAGCTAGAAGCTAAAATTTGTGGGTACCGATTGCTATTTGCTAGTGTTAGCTGGATAGAGCAGGAGTTAGTCTGAGTTTGCTGGATAGTGCTAGAATTTGCAGGTGCTGGTGGTAGCCGAACAGAGTAGGAGTTAGTCTGAGGTTGCTGGATAGGGCTAGAATTTGCAGGTGCTAGTGGTAGCTGAACAGAGTTAGTCTGAGGTTGCTGGAAAGGGGGCTAGAATTTGCAGGTGCTAGTGGTAGCTGGACAGCACTTATTAGGTGTTGGTGGAAGCTAGAAAGAGCAGAAAGGAGCATCCAGAGGTTGCTAGAAAGACTAAGAGCCAACTAGAAGTAGATTCTACTACATGAGGTTGGATTGGAGTTGATTAGCCATAATAGCCAAACAGTACTGGAGAGAGCCCAACTTGTGGTGAGACCGGAATCCCGGCTTAATCCCGATCCTAAACCCCGTCCCCGGTCCCGGTCTTAATCCCGGTCTTAATCTCGGTCCCTGCACTTTTTCCAAGTCCCGGCCGAAAAAGCGGTATCGGTCGAGCCTTGGCTTAACGAAATGGAAGCAACCAGAGAGATGGTTAGATGTACAAATTTGGGGATTGAAGTAGTTTGAAGTAACCAGAGAGATGTTTAGATGTATAAATTTGGGGATAATATAAGATAGCTGGAGCTTCTGAAACTGATTTGTGTTGCTCCATAAATATTATCTGAATGTGTTCATGCTGAAAATTTTGCTGTGCTGCAAATAAACTTTTTAGTCCAGGATACCAAAATTAAGTACATGTTTGATGCTACTATTTTAGAATGCACGAACGCGAAAGTTAAAGCAGTTTTAATGAATATATCCAAAACTAAGCACTATATACCCTATGTTGCTTTATAGCTTATATTATATGAATGTGGCCTTTGCAGTTAGTTTGAGGTAAAAGAGAGGCCCCTACAACGTTCAGAAGCCGAGATACAAAAGTCATATATTTGCGCCTGAGGGTAATTTAAAAATTTCCCCCCTAGGGTTGGAAGACTTGGAACTACTGATGGAAATTGCGTACCTTATCAATTCTTATCCAGAATGACCTTACAAAGAACCTGGTTTCTAGAAAAGTTGTAAATAGATCTTAAGGCTGAGCGTGAGTTTGAGACGAATTTAGCTTTCATTTTAGACTTCACGTCTCCCAAAATAAAACTGCGAACAAAGTTTTTTACAGTTTACTTAGTTCCTTGTTTCACTTTGTTCGCAGTTTTATTTCGGGAGACGTGAAGTCTAAAATGAAAGCTAAATTCGGAAAGTTGTAGACACCAAAGTGCATACTCGATTTCAATTAGTAGATTTTTTTCACTCTCGCCCCAGTACAGTGAAAATCAGTTTTTCTGGATTTTTTCCAAAAGAAAGCATTTTGGGCCTTGATCTTTATATGTACTTTTATAGTGCCAATATAAGCATGTGCATTACAGTCATTTTAAGCCAAATTTTGAGTCTCTAAGACCTTCAGAAGCTGAGATACAAATTTCCCATATATGCGCCTAATGTGAAATATGGGCGTTTCCCCACAGGATTGGGACTAGCAACACAACATGTGCCGTTCAGTGATTTGGGTTACAGATGACCTATTTAACCCGATTCAGTATCAACAAATATCTATGCAGTGAAGTGCACACTCAACCCCTCCCTGCTACTGGAGTAATGCAGATTAAAAAAATCAAAGAATCAAGGATTAATACTTAATATTTTGATTATATATCACACAGCTCTCGTAGTACCTAATTATTGAATTTCAGTCAACTTCCAAAATGACTAGTACCATTTATTTAAAGTGGTCGTTTATTACCTTGAAATAGAATAGTGTGTCCGAGGTTGGTTTCAGTGCAAGTGGCGTCTTTCTTTCTTGCCCTATAAAGCAGTAGTTAAGTTATGTAAAAAAAGCCAGGTGTGCTCGAATAATTACATACTATGTTAATTAATTAGCACAATCCAGATATAATTCTCTTTGTGTATTATCACTCATTCGAGGAATACATCAAATAAAATAACAACAATGTTATACATTTTTTCGAATGAACGTTCATTTTTGCGGTTTTTAGATATTTTGAATGATTGGATTGAGTCGAATTGTACTGTAATGAGTTTGAAAAACTTCAGGACACTTTTCCTGAAAATATGGGAGCTCCTGTCCTACTGGCTGCTACTCAGATGAATGATATGAATCAAGAGCTTATTGATCATTATGCAGAATCAGGTGATTAGGTTGACGCTAGATCCGCACCATGGGAATCGTACAGAGCAGCTCAATTATGGTGTCGTAGCAAGCATATGATAACCCAAGTTAAAGGAATTAATTTTGCTAACGAAATAAAAAAATTGTTTGATACCTTTATCATTTTAAATCTGTTTCGCGCCATTACAGTATATCATTTATAAAACATAGCTATGTTATAACTTTATAAGACCCAACGTATGTGTATAACTGACTTTTGAAATTTTGCATTCATATCTATCATTGGCTCAAAAAATATTTGTTATTGTCCACCTTAAGAGGGCATACACCAAAACTGTCCAGCCCAAATGACCTCATAGGAAGTTCTGATAAAATCATATTTTCTCCCATAACTTTAAAAGAAAGCATTTTAGGGTGTTTTTTATTCATAACTTATGTATAAATGTGCTAGTTGCAGATTCCTATCGAAATTTTAGAAAAATCTGTAAATATTTAAAACGAAAAATATGCCTAAATTTGTTGTTTGGCTTTGAGGTGCAAAAGATCAACTTTACAGTTGAATTTAAAACACATTTTTGAGGGCATCAAAAACTGCGCCAGAATTCAGAGAACATGAATTTCATGTCTAGCAACAAAACAATCCGATGTTCAATCTCGTTCAAGGCTATCTCTGAAGCAGTCAAGGCTACGAAAGTGGACTTGGCTACTGCACAGTGGATCATCAACATGGTAACCAATCGATTCATCACACTAAATCATAAGGGTAAGTCGAGAAGGGTACGGATCAGGCGAGGTTGCCCCCAAGGAGGCATTCTCTCTCCTTTTCTCTGGAACCTGGTAGTCGACGATCTCCTTTCCTTTACCGCAAAAGACATCCCGGGTTACCTGCAAGCCTTTGTGGATGATCTGTTGTCTCTAGCGGAAGGGGATGATTTAGACATCATCTGGGACCGAACATGCAAAACTATTAAAACGATTGAAAATTGGTGCAGAACCAAAGAGCTATCTATTAGTGCCCTTAAAACTCAGATAGTCATGTTTACCTGGAATAGTAAGTGGATTCTAAGACCTATAACAGTTGGCAACAACATTATAGGTCTGTCCAAGTCTGCTAAATTTCTAGGAGTGACCTTGGACAGCAAACTCAACTTCAATGAACATATCATCAACACCACCAAAAAAGCCACGGCATCCCTCATGCAATGTCGAAGAGCTGTCGGCCCCACATGGGGTATGAGCCCCAAAACATGCAAATGGATGTACACTGCTGTCATCCGTCCAATCCTATCCTACTGCTGTAGTATATGGATCAGGGCCACTCAAACGGACTATAACGCGAAGAAACTCAAACGTGTTCAGGCATTGGCACTCAGAATGATGTCTGGTGCCATGCCAAGCACACCTTTTATCGCATTGAATCACCTCACCGACACTTCTGACATCATACTGTTCCTGCAAGGCGAAGCAGCAAAGGGTGCGGCCAGGCTACAAGCTTATGGCAGCCTCACTCTTGAAACTATCGCCTTCAGGAAGGGAACTATCAAAAATCATACCACTATCAACAAACAATTCATGGCAGATCTCATTATTCCACCTAGAGCAACGAGAGACCTAACAACACCAACCATGATGCTGGGACGGCACTTCACCGTCACAACTCCTGGAGCCGATAACACTGAATATAGAAATTCACTTCAAAACACTATTGACAACATTACCAGTGAAACGATCACCTGCTACACTGACGGGTCACTCACAGACTCAGGATGCGGGGCTGGCTATATCATCACAACTGACAACAATAACACCACCCTTGAAGAAAGATCATTCAAGCTCCCTGATTATTGCACTGTTTACCAAACAGAGCTCACCGCCATCATTGAAGCTTGCAAATTTCTCTCTACCTATACCAACACACATATCATCATATGGTCTGACAGTCTCTCATCTATACAAGCTATCTCTGCGCTTTCAACGCGGAGTAGAACTACAAGAGACTGTTACGACTCTCTTAATGCACTCGGATCCAACAACACGCTAGAGATACGATGGATTGCAGCACACATCGGATTGTGGGGGAACGAAAAAGCAGATGAGCTGGCCAAGCTTGGTATAATCAGTGAAACCACTTTGAAGTGTCCAATTCCACAATCCTACATCAAGCGTCAAATCGACAACAAAGTCAACAGACTGAATCAGGAAACTTGGTTAACTGACGGTCCCAGACACACCAAACTGACACTCGGCCACAAGCATGCCAAAATCATCAAAAACCTCAACACTACACTCAGCAAAAACAGACAAGATTACAGAACTGCAGTTCACCTCATCACGGGTCACTGCGGCTTAAACAAACACCTTCACACCATTTGCAAATCAAACACCAGTGCTTGTCCTATGTGCGGCGACGGAGAGGAAACTGTCTCACACTTCCTTGGACAGTGTCCGTCTATTGCCCAAATTAGAGGTCAATATTTCCAGGACTACTACCTCTCTGTCAATGACATATTCGACAACCAACACATCACCACAATTGTCAATTTCACAAACCGCACCAAACGCTTAATTGTGCCGGAAGAACTGGATCAGACCGGGGGACTTAAAGTATTATCTCATATGCTGTCTCGTCTCGTTTTACTTTTCCAAACCCAGCTGGCATTTAAGCGTATCTTTTTGACTCATATAACAGCTTACACCATCCTCCACCAATCACTCTGATTTCACCGGCAACCTTCCCCAAGGTTGCCACACCCCAGAGGTAGGCAGAGCATCTCAATGCTATCCTCTCGTGGGCTATCTTGGCCCAGCCTCTCATTAAAAAAATTAAAAAAAATAATAAAAAAAATTCCTTGACGGATTTTTTGGTCAAAACAAGCCTGAAAAGTAAAATTACCACTTTTTGTTTACACGCATCTTGAACAAGATATAAATAAACTTCGTTCAAAATTTCAGCTCAATACCACATGAAATGATTAATTTATTGTCTCTCCATGAAACAAATTGTGCTTTTCCGAAAATGCACTTTGACCAGGAAATGCTCGATTAAAAAAACGGGAATCCTCAAAAAAATGTATTGGTGAGGAAACGGTGCGCCATATGCTATGGTCAATAAACTTTTGGTGTATTCCCCCTAATTATAAAAATCACATTAATAAGTATTTTAATTTGGTACCTGGTGGTGAGAGACTGCTTAGATTGTCTGAGTTGGTTTGATCCTCTCTTTCTGTGTACTGAATCCTGAAATTCTCCATGTTATTTTCTTATACTTTTTAAGTGGAATATTTATGACAGCGGTACTGCTGTAGTTTACAATAATTTTAAATAAGCTGTACCGTAATTGAATCGCAATTGGTTTACTGAAATTTAGGGTATAATTGTGCTAAAAGATTGCGTAGTCTGAACACTAAAACATTTACAAACTTGATAAAATGGGCCTAGGGTAGAGTCTTCACAAGATTGACTACAGGTAGGAAGTAGTTGCTTGAACAAGTTGTTTTGAACCTTTACTTCTGTCCACTGAAATCTGATATACTTCACGAGAGTCTCTTAATCTTATCGCTTTAAAATGACGTGCTGGCTGTCGTATTCTAAAATGACACTAACTAAAATATACCTTAAATTAATCAACCAATCAATTAACTAATCAAGAACCCGTGTCCCGTATGTATATGGAAAGAAGATTGAGTTGTCTGAATACTGCCAAACATTCATATAGCTAAAAACCTGGAGTAGGTAAGATCAGTCTTCAGAAGATAGATTGCAGTTAGGATTTAGGAAATAGTTTTCCTCTCAGAACCGTTTTTAAATTTTCGTAAAATTCAGTCACTGAAATCATGTGCAATAATTAACCAACTGTACTCACAAAGCTTCAAAGATTGAAATAGATATATTATTTGGTTTACAACAATTTTAGTCAAAATTTTGACTAATTATTCATGGTCGACTAAATTTTTCGTTCTTAAGCCTATTAAGGTATCACTATCCTTACTTGGCAAAACCTTTTATTCATAAATCTTCCATGTACCAATAAATTTAAAATGTTTCGCCGACAAACATGCGTCAATTTAAAGAGGTCAAAAAATCAGGCCGGGTTTAGAGAAGCATTTTAAAATATGGTACCTGGTGTTGATAGATTGTTTAAATTGACTAGATTGTTTTGATCCTCTCTTTCTGTCTAAGTGAATCCTGAAATTCTCCATGTCATTTTCTTATACATAATTAGTAGTTTACAATGATATAAAATTAGCAGTACCGTAATTGAGTCGCAATTAGTGTAACGGCCCTACGGCCGGGACCACATTATCGCAGTTGAAATGCAAAAGTATTATAAGGCTTATAGGCTTCGTCACTCGTCAAAGTTTTGTCTAAACTATACCGAAAAAAACAGTCACATGACTCTTACCGTTTTCTTAATTAAGCCGCTCGGAAATTACACGCTCACTCACAGACAGACACACAGACAGACATATAACATACATTCTGAGATTATTATTGAGATTGCTGATTAATAATACTTTGCGAAGGAAAATTAAAAATTGTATGAACACTATAATGTTCACAAACCTGATAATCTAGGGTAGGATATGTCAGTCTTCACAAGATTGACTAAAGTTAGGAATTAGTTTCTTGAATAAGTCCTTATGATCCTCTACGGTACCGTACTTCTGTTCACTGAAATCTGATAAACTCCACGTGAGTTTTTTAATCTTATCGGCATCGCTTTAAAACGGCGTGCTGGCTGTGGCTCTTAATAATTCGCTCGCCCAAAAATTATCACGTGACTTTGTTTTTATGGTTTTGCATCAGAACAAAACGGTTTTTATATAAACCTTCATCCTAACCCTAACCATAAGTATAACCGGCTGACGGACAACTAGGAACCTTTCAGCCCCTTTCGGACCCGGCTCACATCGTTGGGACCCGGCTCACGTCCGTAATGTGAACACATACCGAGAGCTCAAACACTTCTTAATATACTTCATAATACACAGCTACTTACTAAACTGACATGTGAACCCTACCCAGGTTCTTGGTTGTCCGGCTGTTAGGATGGTTATAATATGGATCACATCACAAATGATACGTCACTGATTGGGCCATGTGATGTGATACCTGTGGGAGGCCGAAATGAGAGGTTCCTAGTTGTCGGTCACCGGTATAACCCGGCCCGAAGCTATCCATAACCCTAACCACAACCCTAACCCGAGCCCTAAACAATTGAATTCGTGTTTTACTAGCCTGTCACGTGGCTAAAACGGTTTTTTGCCGGTTGGGCGAGCGATTTAATGGGAGCGGCTGGCTGTCGTATTCTTAAATGACACAAAATAAAATTTCCCTCAAAAAACAATCAATTAATTACAAATTAACTAATCAAGAGCCAAATATGAAGAAAAAAAATTGAGTTGTCTGACTCTGAACACTATAATTATAAAACATTCACAAACCTGATCTCCTTGGGTCTTCACAAGATAAACGTTCTGGTTACAGTTAGGAGTTTGGAAATAGTTTTCTTCTCAGAATCGTCTGTTAAAGTTTCGTACAATTTAGTCACTGAAATCATTTACATTCAATAACCATGAACTGTACTCAAAAATTGAAATATTTATATCTGAAGTTATGATGACCTTCTTTAGGTTTATTTATTTGTAGCTTGAAATCCGCTTTGGTATTAATTATAATATGTAGTTAGTTGATGATTAAAACTATGCCAAAATGTAAATGAGTTTCATAACTTGGTAAAACCTCTTTACTATAAATCTTCCACGTACCTGCCAAGAAGCTGTAAATGTTTTGCTGACAAACACTCGTCAATTAAAACAAGTTAACAAATCAGGCTGGGTTTAGTGCAAGCTTACTAGGTCTCAAGAAAAAGAAATGGGTCAGAGCGAACACGATTCACGAGTCTCTCTATGAGTGTAGATTAATATTATTCGTGTACGAACATGATATTACTATGAGTCACGTGCGCTTCACATGACCCGCCAGAGAGTGCTCTGGATAGCAGGTTAGGTAACGTGACGAGTAACGTGACATTTCATTAGATCAAGCTGCGGTGTTATATTACTCAACATGTTAAGTCATCGCCTGAAGGAACTGATTATCAGTTTTTTATAGCATGAAGTATATAATATATAGCCTGGTGGTGACGGTGTTGTATGGTCATATTGGTAGTTGCAGTTCCACATCAAAAGAGTTGTACGTGGAACTGAGAGAAAACATAATCTCATTGCGAACAGCTGCCCAGTATCCGGTAATACACAGCAACTTCTATGGTTGGGTATTGTCAACCATGTGACGATGGAGAGACGGGGAGTATGAAAGGACCGTGAACGATGACGAAAAGATAAGAGGAGATACGAGGAGGCTGACGCAGCTGAGAGATCACGAGGAGCGAAAGAAATAATGGTAGTAGACTTGATTGACACTATATTGTATATATATGTGGAAATTTATTGAAGTGTTTACTTTTTTATGGAATATAGACATAGTAATGTGGAGGTTTTTAAGAAATTTGCGCAAAATACGCGCCAGCACTGTTGTAAGAAATTCGGTAAAAAGCCCAAAATCGCCATATTGTGGTGCCTTAAAAACCATGTTAAAATTTTGTTCAGCCTGAACAGTGAAGTTTTGCATCTTGTGAAACTTGATTCTGACAAATGACAATGACATAGCGGTTGAGCAACAAACAAATTAGACCTATGACCAAACTTTTGCGGGAGTCCCGGACTACAACCGCCCACCGTTGGCTGCGGTACAGCCGCGCCCATATTGTATATTTGAGCCCAATTCAAATCACCTTAACATGCCGCCAAAAACCATACGCCCATATTTGGTCATATCCACCTAATTTGATAGATTTTGGCCCATAAATTGGTCAAATATCAATATTATTATTTTTGAATGAAACCAACTTTATATGACTGAAAGGTAAGCCTAAACTATACATTCTCCGAGATATGTATTGCTTAATTTTTATAGAAATGTGGCCTGGAAACTAAGGCGAAAAGACCACTCAAAATGAAGAAAACTGCCCATCAAAATTTAAGGCTGAACCCCGGCCCCCCTTTAAGTGTTTCAGTTTCTGTTTACTGTCTGTATAGTTACTGTTTTTGATAATATCATAAATAAAACGAGGATTTTAACTCCTAAATTGTTATAAAAATAAGATTTCTTCAAAGCAGCGGGGTTAAACACACATATTTACAATTACAGTGTTGTAATGGTGGTGATACTGCGAACATAAACCCCAACACGCGAATAGTTGCACATCTTATTACGGCACTTTCTTACTGCGGTACTGTTAGCTCCATTAAATAAAGTCAAGGATACATTTTAAGATACAGACTGGTTTTTATTATGGAAAAAGATGTTGATATACCCGGAAATGAAAATGAGTCCATCGCATGCAAAATCAGTTGGTTTTATTATAGTGTCAATAAGCATAGCATGTCGTCAGGTAGAATCGTGGTTACGAAATGTGGTACCAACGACATTTCGGCATTTTCGAAAAATTAAAATCCAACGAAAAAAAAAGAAAGTATTTTATCTTCATCGTTTGTAACTTCAGTTACTTATCTTGATGAATAACTATAAACACATACTCATTACTCTTGTAATTCAAAATTCATTAAAATATTAATGAATAGAAGCACCTATTTTAACGATAAAGTGGCGAACAGTGAATAGTGAAGCCCCTCACAGACTTCAATAGCCGTTATAATGGTAACCATGGTATTGGTAACCTAGTTTATAAACTCGGTATGGTAATCATCTCGCAGAAATAATTTCGTCAAATAGTTTCTTTTCTAAAAGTAAACATTTCATTGCAATGTATAAATCAATTCTGGAACGAGAAAATTTGGGATATAAATACAATAAATTAAATGTTAGCTCTACATCAGCGCACTGCAGTTCATGATGAATAACGATGTATAGTAGTCACAGACTTCAACAAGTGCTACTATGACGTCACGTGGTGTTTTGATGACGTCACGTGGTGTTGTGATGACGTCACGTGGTGTTGTGATGACGTCACGTGGTGTTGTGATGACGTCACGTGGTGTTTTGATGACGTCACGCGGTCACTCCTCGCTGGGTAGAACGTAGTTACCGGGGAATGTACCGAACTTTTCTGTTCGTTGTGAGGTTCCAACGAACCAACCGTCATCACATCTCTCGATAACCTGTGGGAGAGTTTATGAAGGAGCAGTACTGAGCCGCGCAGACAGATATTAAGTTATCTTCAAAGAGATAACTGTAAAAACGACGTTTGAAGTCCTTGCTCTATGTTAACAAAACGAGCAATAAAGTCTATAGAATAATGAAATTTAAATAAAGTTTATTAAAATATTATTAAATAAACATATCTATTAATCAATTAAATAAATAAATATAAAAAGTAACCTCCACAATGTCCCCTCGCTGGAGTTCCAACTCGTCATCATTAAGGGGCTGGTAACTGTACTGGGCTACGTATAACTCGTAATCCTGGACATTGTTAACTAAAGTAAAACTTTTATTCTGAACATCAATAATTTAATAATTTTAAGTACTATGCTATATTCATACAGTTAATTCCCGATTAACTTCGAGAAAGCTATACTCGGAGTAACACTAACTAATACTGAGATTATGGTACTAAATACTCAACTAAATTCTCAACTAAATACTCAACTAAATACTCAACTAAATACTCAACTAAATACTCAACTAAATTCGGTATATGCTGTTTTTTAACCAACCTGGAAATCGTCAGAATCCTCTGCAGATCTGTTGTCAACAATACCGCTGTTTTCAAGATTATCGGTGTTGTCAAGGTTACCACTATCATCAAGAAAACTATCACGTGACTGGTCGACTGTTTCTGGAGACTCGTATTCCTCTAGACAGTCTTCTATTCTCTGTAGTACAGTTTAATGTCACAACAACAGCTTAGTAGTACAGTTTAATGTCACAACAACAGCTTAGAGTCACAAAGTTGAGCAGACAATATTCTCTGTAGTACAGTTTAATGTCACAACAACAGCTTAGAGTCACAAAGTTGAACAGACAATATTCTCTGTAGTACAGTTTAATGTCACAACAACAGCTTAGAGTCACAAAGTTGAGCAGACAATATTCTCTGTAGTACAGTTTAATGTCACAACAACAGCTTAGAGTCACAAAGTTGAGCAGACAATATTCTCTGTAGTACAGTTTAATGTCACAACAACAGCTTAGAGTCACAAAGTTGAGCAGACAATATTCTCTGTAGTACAGTTTAATGTCACAACAACAGCTTAGAGTCACAAAGTTGAGCAGACAATATTCTCTGTAGTACAGTTTAATGTCACAACAACAGCTTAGAGTCACAAAGTTGAGCAGACAATATTCTCTGTAGTACAGTTTAATGTCACAACAACAGCTTAGTAGTACAGTTTAATGTCACAACAACAGCTTAGAGTCACAAAGTTGAGCAGACAATATTCTCTGTAGTACAGTTTAATGTCACAACAACAGCTTAGAGTCACAAAGTTGAGCAGACAATATTCTCTGTAGTACAGTTTAATGTCACAACAACAGCTTAGAGTCACAAAGTTGAGCAGACAATAATCTTAAATCTTCAAAATACTCGCTTTAAATATAGTCATGGATCTGTGTACTGGTGGTGAAGTGAGCCATTATTTCTCTGATACGCAACAGCGATTAACGGATCAACTTCTAGCATGAATTATTGAACGACTTATAATATACATAGTAAGAAATTATTAACAAGCGCGGGCGTCGAAACAAATATGGCGTACCACATCATTACCCACATCTATAAAATAACTGGGAATGTAAAGTATTGATGAAGGAGTAAAGGTACCTGCGATCTATAAAATAACTGGGAATATAAAGTATTGATGAAGGAGTAAAGGTACCTGTGATCTATAAAATAACTGGGAATGTAAAGTATTGATGAAGGAGTAAAGGCACCTGTGATCTATAAAATAACTGGGAATATAAAGTATTGATGAAGGAGTAAAGGTACCTGTGATCTATAAAACAACTGGGAATATAAAGTATTGATGAAGGAGTAAAGGTACCTGAGATCTATAAAATAACTGGGAATATAAAGTATTGATGAAGGAGTAAAGGTACCTGTGATCTATAAAATAAGTGGGAATGTAAAGTATTGTTAGGTAAAGGTACCTGTGATCTATAAAATAACTGGGAATATAAAGTATTGATGAAGGAGTAAAGGTACCTGTGATCTATAAAATAACTGGGAATGTAAAGTATTGATGAAGGAGTAAAGGTACCTGTGATCTATAAAATAAGTGGGAATGTAAAGTATTGATGAAGGAGTAAAGGTACCTGTGATCTATAAAATAACTGAGAATGTAAAGTATTGATGAAGGTGCACCTGTGATCTATAAAATAACTGGGAATATAAAGTATTGATGAAGGAGTCAAGGTACCTGTGATCTATAAAATAACTGAGAATGTAAAGTATTGATGAAGGTGCACCTGTGATCTATAAAATAACTGGGAATGTAAAGTATTGATGAAGGTGCACCTGTGATCTATAAAATAACTGGGAATATAAAGTATTGATGAAGGAGTAAAGGTACCTGTGATCTATAAAATAACTGGGAATGTAAAGTATTGATGAAGGAGTCAAGGTACCTGTGATCTATAAAATAACTGAGAATGTAAAGTATTGATGAAGGTGCACCTGTGATCTATAAAATAACTGGGAATATAAAGTATTGATGAAGGAGTAAAGGTACCTGTGATCTATAAAATAACTGGGAATGTAAAGTATTGATGAAGGAGTAAAGGTACCTGTGATCTATAAAACAACTGGGAATATAAAGTATTGATGAAGGAGTAAAGGTACCTGTGATCTATAAAACAACTGGGAATATAAAGTATTGATGAAGGAGTAAAGGTACCTGTGATCTATAAAACAACTGGGAATATAAAGTATTGATGAAGGAGTAAAGGTACCTGTGATCTATAAAACAACTGGGAATATAAAGTATTGATGAAGGAGTAAAGGTACCTGTGATCTATAAAATAACTGGGAATGTAAAGTATTGATGAAGGTGCACCTGTGATCTATAAAATAACTGGGAATGTAAAGTATTGATGAAGTTGCACCTGTGATCTATAAAATAACTGGGAATGTAAAGTATTGATGAAGGTGCACCTGTGATCTATAAAATAACTGGGAATGTAAAGTATTGATAGTTAAAGGTACCTGTGATCTATAAAATAACTGGGAATGTAAAGTATTGATAGGTAAAGGTACCTGTGATCTATAAAATAACTGGGAATGTAAAGTATTGATGAAGGTACCTGTGATCTATAAAATAACTGGGAATGTAAAGTATTGATGAAAGGTACCTGTGATCTATAAAATAACTGGGAATGTAAAGTATTGATGAAGGTACCTGTGATCTATAAAATAACTGGGAATGTAAAGTATTGATAGGTAAAGGTACCTGTGATCTATAAAATAACTGGGAATGTAAAGTATTGATGAAGGTGCACCTGTGATCTATAAAATAACTGGGAATGTAAAGTATTGATGAAGGTGCACCTGTGATCTATAAAATAACTGGGAATGTAAAGTATTGATGAAGGTGCACCTGTGATCTATAAAATAACTGGGAATGTAAAGTATTGATGAAGGTACCTGTGATCTATAAAATAACTGGGAATGTAAAGTATTGATGAAGGTGCACCTGTGATCTATAAAATAACTGGGAATGTAAAGTATTGATGAAGGTGCACCTGTGATCTATAAAATAAGTGGGAATGTAAAGTATTGATGAAGGAGTAAAGGTACCTGTGATCTATAAAATAACTGGGAATATAAAGTATTGATGAAGGTGCACCTGTGATCTATAAAATAACTGGGAATGTAAAGTATTGATGAAGGTGCACCTGTGATCTATAAAATAAGTGGGAATGTAAAGTATTGATGAAGGAGTAAAGGTACCTGTGATCTATAAAATAACTGGGAATATAAAGTATTGATGAAGGAGTAAAGGTACCTGTGATCTATAAAACAACTGGGAATATAAAGTATTGATGAAGGTGCACCTGTGATCTATAAAATAACTGGGAATATAAAGTATTGATGAAGGTGCACCTGTGATCTATAAAATAACTGGGAATATAAAGTATTGATGAAGGAGTAAAGGTACCTGTGATCTATAAAATAACTGGGAATATAAAGTATTGATGAAGGAGTAAAGGTACCTGTGATCTATAAAATAACTGGGAATATAAAGTATTGATGAAGGAGTAAAGGCACCTGTGATCTATAAAATAACTGGGAATATAAAGTATTGATGAAGGTGCACCTGTGATCTATAAAATAACTGGGAATATAAAGTATTGATAGGTAAAGGTACCTGTGATCTATAAAATAAGTGGGAATGTAAAGTATTGATGAAGGAGTAAAGGTACCTGTGATCTATAAAATAACTGGGAATGTAAAGTATTGATGAAGGAGTAAAGGTACCTGTGATCTATAAAATAACTGGGAATATAAAGTATTGATGAAGGTGCACCTGTGATCTATAAAATAACTGGGAATGTAAAGTATTGATAAAGGAGTAAAGGTACCTGTGATCTATAAAATAACTGGGAATGTAAAGTATTGATAGGTAAAGGTACCTGTGATCTATAAAATAAGTGGGAATGTAAAGTATTGATGAAGGAGTAAAGGTACCTGTGCTGTGAGATCAGGAGGTGGGGGGAGATCTGGAGCCTCAATCTTCACTGCGTAACTTGTGGGGAATATGCCCTGTGCAGCGCCTAGTTGCCCGTAGTACCAGTTATCATCTATCACTTCAGTAACTGTTATGGTGGCTCCTGAGTAAGAGGAGAGGCTTATTTTTGTTTTCAGTGGGATTAAGAGATTTCGTTTATAATCGCTGACACCGATAATATTAATTAAAGTAAGACGATAACACTTATTAACCGCAACAAATAAACACTGTTAAAGTTTACCTTTTTTGAAAGTAAGTTCTCCGTCCTCAGTGGACTTAAAAGAGTAAATAGCTTTAACCTCGAACGTATCATCGTCCTCATCATTCCCTAATTCGCTGTTAGAAACCCTGTAGTTTATGTTATTCTGCTCTTTTACTCTGGCCCTTTCCTCCGCCTCCTCCTTAAGTCTCCTTCCTTCCTCCATCTCCTAAAATCTTCTGATTATCACAAAGAAAAACAAAAGTGTGTTACAAAGAATACAAGTTCTTTCTAAGTATGTATCAGCATATGTTCACGTTTCAATAGTTCTTATTATATGTGGATACATGCGAATATATATTCTAAATAACTAACCAAACTTTCAATAGTTCGTTACAACATTATTTTAGTCTTGTAACGTAAGTTTTCATAAACAAATTACTGAACTGGTCTTCTTGGGAACTAGAAGAACTAATTATTAATCAGTAATTAACTCAGTAATTAATTAATTAACAATTAGAATCACCTGTTGATGTAGACGCTCCAGTTCCTGTAAGCGCTCTTCTTCTCGTTTCCTCTTCTCTTCTCGTAATCTCTCTTCCTCCTCTCTAGCTACCTCCTCTTCCCTGATCCGTTCTTCCTCCAATCTTCGAAGTCTTTCTTCCTGACGCTTCCTCTCATCGTTTTCTCTCTGGCGCCGTTCCTCGTCTCGTTTTCTCTGTTCATTTTCACGTCTTTTCCTGTCTTCTTCTTCTTTTCGAAGGCGTTCTTCCTCCCACAGACGCTCTTCTTCCTCCGCCTTCTTTCTTTCATCTTCTTCCAATCTGACTCGTGCTTCCTCTTCCCTCCGAATGCGATCTTGAACTCTTCTCATCTCCTCTTCGCCCTCTTTTCTCTTTCGCTCCAATTCTTCCTTTCTCCTCTCTTCCTCCTCTCTTCGTTTCCGCTCATTTGCTTCCCGTCTTAGCCTCTTTTCTTCCTCCTTCCTTATTTTCTCCTGCTCGAGTCTTTTCTGTTCTTCGTATATCCTTTGCTGTTCTACCTCTTCCCTTCTTCTGTCATCATCTTCCTCTTGCCTTCTTCTCCTCTCCTCTGCGATTCTCCTCTCCTCTTCTTTAATTAATTGCTCTGCAGCTCTCTGCTCTCTAACTCGCTGTTTCTCCGCATCCAGTTTTTCTTTCTTACTCCTATCCTGCTCTTCTCTACGGTTAGTCTCCTCCTCCAACGTCTTCTCTTCTTCTTTTCTCCGAAGATCGGCTGCTCTTTGTTCCATAACACGCTGCTTTTCTTCCGCCAGTCTGCGTGCCGAGGATTGTCGACGGTCTTCCGCCTTTCTTTCCTGCTCTTTTCTTTCTTCTTCTTTTCGCTTTTCTTCCTTTTTTCGCTCCATTTCCCGCCTGTTTTCTTTGTTTGACTCGTCGTTTTTTTGGTAGCGACTCAGCTGGGGCAAACTGCAAAATAAGTTTTTATAAGAAAGTTTTTATTGAAAATATGATGTTATTGTATGACTTTATTTGTTTTGCTATGTAGAATGGCTTAAATCTAAACAGCTAAATGTTCAAATGGAGAATAACCTTCAAAATATGCACAGAGGCTGCGTTTCATATCTTGTGAAAACAGAACCTATTAAGCTATTATATTATGCGATCAAATATGAGTTAAAATATCAGAAGTCAAAACATTAACTATTAAGATAGATAATAGCCATAGTGATGGTAGTCATGGTGACACTACGATAAGAACTCTCCATTACCTGCCAATATCACGCTGGTAACTAGGAACGTAGCTCATACTGCTAGGTGTAAAGTCCGTGATGGGAGAGGGTGGGGAGTGGGGGGAGGGTGGGGATTTCTTTGATTCGAACGTCGTTTCCACATCCTGGGGCGACTGGGTTGGCTCTGAAATTATTAATTAATTAACTATTAATTAATTAACTATTAATTAATTAACTAGATATCGATTATGAACAGTTTCGGAGTACAGAATTTAGTGTGATTTCTCTAAAAGAGAGCTTAATATATTGTTTATTTTTGCTACATCTGAGAATAATGCATCATGGTTACATCATCACCTTAATCGAGTTAAATAATTTACTGTTTCAGACAAATTAAACACCCAACACTAAACCTAATATCTGATAAGCATACATACCAGGATCTAGAATATCCACATAATTTCGAGGAAATATTCCGACTTGTTCGTTGAGCTCTCCCTCGATCCAGTTAGCGTCTACCTCCCTCCTAATCCGGATAATATCTTTCTTTTTAAAACCTAGCTCACGAGCACCTTCTGCTTTAAATGTGTACCTGAGCGGGTTTAAGGGAACTGTCAAAACTTTTCAACACAGATTTATTTTGTTATTGAAGAGTTAATCACGGAGATGCAGATCGGTGGCTGCGTAAAACTGAGTGAAACTGTGGAAAACTGTGTTAAACTGAGTAAAACTGAGTGAAACTGTGTAAAGCTGAGTGAAACTGTGTAAAACTGAGTGAAACTGTGTTAAACTGAGTAAAACTGAGTGAAACTGTGTAAAGCTGAGTGAAACTGTGTAAAACTGAGTGAAACTGTGTTAAACTGAGTAAAACTGAGTGAAACTGTGTAAAACTGAGTTAAACTGAGTAAAACTGTGTAAAACTGAGTAAAACTGAGTAAAACTGAGTGAAACTGTGTAAAACGGTGTAAAACGGTGTAAAAGGAAGTGATCTACCAATTTCTTCAACATACTTAGCTTTGCAGTATCTCATCACTTCAGGCTCCTTCGCCATGTTGTCCTGCTTTGCGGCGCGCGGCTCCTCAGCACGTGCGGCTCTGACGTCACGTGACGGAGTGATGACGTCACGTGGTGTTGTGGAGATTGTCGTGGGAGCGGGGGTGGCGATTGTTATGTTCTTGTTTTCCGGGATCTTAGAGTCCACTTCTGTTGAGTTCTAGGGCGATTTGGCGATTACTTTTAATAGAATTAACCCATAATTTACAAGGCTTTTATTTGAAGGGCGGTTTTATATTCCCGTCCCCAATGAGGCCTTTTACTGGTACAGTTTACTTATTTAACAATTATTAAAACCGAGAAAAAAATGTATGCAATTGTTAAAGATTGTTAAAAATGTCCGTCATAAATTAGAAATTTAAGAGTTGGGGGCGGGGAGTCAACCTTATAAATATACATAAAGGCCTATACCTATTTTGAAATCGGAGGGAATAATAAGTATTTATGAGATTGATGCCCCCCCCCCCCCCCCGGATTGTCATGGGTTCGAAGAGTTTAGAAATTTTCCCGAAAACAGTCTAAATATGTCTAAAAAGTTTACCGTTGATAAAGATGAGGAAACAACTTGAAAGAAACTCAACACAGTGACAATAAGAACTAATGACAAGAACGCAGTGTATTATTCACATACACACTAAAACAACCCTGTTAACAAAGGCAACAACAACATAGCCCTTCACAGCGCATGTGAGGAATGGGGAGTGTGTCTAATCACAGGGAGAGTGTGTCTAATCACAGGGGGAGTGTGTCTAATCACAGGGGGAGTGTGTCTAATCACAGGGGGAGTGTGTCTAATCACAGGGGGAGTGTGTCTAATCACAGGGGGAGTGTGTCTAATCACAGGGGGAGTGTGTCTAATCACAGGGGGAGTGTGTCTAATCACAGGGGGAGTGTGTCTAATCACAGGGGGAGTGTGTCTAATCACAGGGGGAGTGTGTCTAATCACAGGGGGAGTGTGTTTAATCACAGGGGGAGTGTGTCTGATCACAGGGGGAGTGTGTCTGATCACAGGGTGAGTGTGTCTAATCACAGGGGGAGTGTGTCTAATCACAGGGGGAGTGTGTCTAATCACAGGGGGAGTGTGTCTAATCACAGGGGGAGTGTGTCTAATCACAGGGGGAGTGTGTCTAATCACAGGGGGAGTGTGTCTAATCACAGGGGGAGTGTGTCTAATCACAGGGGGAGTGTGTCTAATCACAGGGGGAGTGTGTCTAATCACAGGGGGAGTGTGTCTAATCACAGGGGGAGTGTGTCTAATCACAGGGGGAGTGTGTCTAATCACAGGGGGAGTGTGTATAATCACAGGGGGAGTGTGTCTAATCACAGGGGGAGTGTGTCTAATCACAGGGGGAGTGTGTCTAATCACAGGGGGAGTGTGTATAATCACAGGGGGAGTGTGTCTAATAGCTACAATAGCTAGCTACACTAGCTACAATAGCTAAAATAGCTCGCTACACCAGCTACACATTTAATTTTGTGTCCTGCCGTAATTATGAGAACTGCCGTACTATTTTTTATTTTCTATTTTTGTTTCCAAGAAAACAACGAACCTCATTGTCACGGAGCCGGTTAATTACCTCATTGTCACGGAGCCGGTTAATGGGAATTACTTTGCTGTCCTTGAACTCCTTTATAAAGTCTAATGTGTTATCGTCAAGCGTGGATTCGGTTCGGGCGGTGTAGGACTGTCTTAACATGTTGGCGACCTGAGATGGGTAAATTTAATTAATATCAATTAATTAATTAATTAATTAATTAATATTTAAATAATATAAAATGTGTTATCAAAATAATGCGTTTATTAAAATTCAGAACTTATGGTGCATCGTATGTTTAAAACCGGATATGTCAAAATATTAAAAGTCCAGAAAGTTTTCATTTCTGGTGTGAACAAAATATCCTTTAACGATTTTACTTTTCCAATGAGGTAAAATAACCTCAAAATAAGCTAGATACTATAAAAGTTAGAAAATACAAAAAAATTGAGTAAAACAATCTTGTGAGACTTATGAATATCTGGTAACATAATGTAGAAATTAAATGTGAATTAAGTCATAGATATTTCTTCGATCAAACATTAATTGAGTATTTAATATCAAATTAATAACCAATTAATTAATTACGAACCTCTTTTGAGTTATACGAAGGTACGTCTCTGCTGCTAGAGTCTATGTGTAAACTGTGTTTCGGGGGAGCTTTATTGTTGTAGGTATGTGTGATCTGAGAGTTATCTTTAATTTAATTAATATTACTTAATTTATAAACGTGCTTTTATTATCATTTATTAAGAGAACATTACTTAATAAGTAATATGTTTTGTTACTTATTAACTGTAAGCGGCTGTCTCAATAAGAACAGTACGTGATAAGACACGTGATAAGTGTTGATATGATAATTAAATACCAGTGCGAACTAGTTAAGGTGTATTGGATTTACTTTTAACAAAGTTTTTATATTTGCCAAGTTTTAATTTTATGGAGTTTCCCTTTGGTCTTGAATAAGCCGCACATATTTTAGAAAAAAATTAACATCCTGTTGTGTTGTTGAAGAAATTAGAATGTCAAACTTTACATTAGTTATAGTTACATTAGTTATAGTTTTAACTTAGTTATAGTTACCATAGTTATAGTTACCATAGTTATAGTTACCATAGTTGCGAGAATATAACAGATTGTAAAGATGGCGGGCAGTTACTTTAAGGACAATTACAATAAACAGGCAACTATCTATTAATTGGAATAAACTGGCATCTTTCAACACAGGTAAATATTTGAAAGAATTTAAGGAATTAAATGGAAACGCCCGACTAAAAGTGTATTATTGTTTAGTTGTTAATAAAATATCTCAGGCTGCACCTTCTACAGGTTACTTCTCTAGGATATGGAGAGATGATATACAATTAGGTAGGTCCATAAAAACAAAATGTTATTGAATATAAACAGTTAAGTATGTAGGAAAAGTTTAACTTTGGTTGAGGTTTTAAGTCTCTATTATATGATGTCGGGAAGTTCCTGCACTAAGAAATTAATAACTACCTGGTTTTGTTATTTAAGTTAAAAGAGTTAGTTACTGAAAAAATTAATAACTAACTGGTTTTGTTATTTAAGTTTAAAGAGTAAGTTACTGAAAAAATTAATAACTAACTGGCTTAGGTATTTAAGTTTAAAGAGATAGTTACTTAATAAATTAATAACTAACTATCAATGGGTCCAAGTTACTGCGGACATAGTTCACTATGTGTTTACCGTGTTTGGGTGCCCATCATATTTTACAGATGGGGGCGATATTTTGAACGATTCTATTTTATATTCATCTATTGCTGTACTCTGTAAAATTTGAAAAGTATTTAATTTTTTAAAAACTGGTTTTGTTGTTTAAGTTTAAAGAGTTAGTTACTGAATAAATTAATAACTAACTGGTTTTGATATTTAAGTTTAAAGAGTAAGTTACTGAATAAATTAATAACTAACTGGTTTTGTTGTTTAAGTTTAAAGAGTTAGTTACTGAATAAATTAATAACTAACTGGTTTTGATATTTAAGTTTAAAGAGTAAGTTACTGAAGAAATTAACAACTAACTGGTTTAGTTATTTAAGTTTAAAGAGTTAGTAACTGAAGAAATTAACAACTAACTGGTTTAGTTATTTAAGTTTAAAGATTAAGTTACTGAAGAAATTAATAACTAACTGGTTTTGTTATTTAAGTTTAAAGAGTAAGTAAATGAATAAATTAATAACTAACTGGTTTGGTTGAGATAGGTCCTGCGAACTGACTAGGAGAACTAGATCGGGGAGTTGACAGATCACTACTTCTTCCACCCAACTGAGAAGAACAAGGGTAATTAACTTAAAGTCAATAATTAGCTATTTCTCTATTTGTATATTATAATTAGTATTATAATCGACCCTGGATTGAAAATATAGAACCGAAAGTTTGGCTATTTCTGTTTTGATATAGTTTCATGAAAGCCCAAATAATACTGGAATTTGTTACAAAGCAAAAATTTAGGCGAAGCCTTCGAAAAATAGCGTCTCTAATTCTTGAAGCAATTAATTGATAAAAACAATGCGCCGGGTAGAAGTAAAATATTACTATTCTGATAGTAACAGAGAAAACCTATCACCAATAATTCAGTTTTCGAAGTATATTATATACAGACTGACTTGATAATATACAATATGTGTAATATAATGTATGTATATTAACATATATTTATTATATATGTAATATGTTATATTCATGCTTTTCATACAAGTTACAACAAAGTCTTCATGTTATGTATCCTGTGTTTGGACGCATGTTTCAGGTTAAATAGTTTATAAAAAGTCTAGCACTAAGCACTAAGCACAGCGGCTAAATCTCAAAGCGTCTTTATAAATATTAAAATAAAGCTGTTTTGTTATTGACTAAGGTGATGGTATCAGCACAATCTCCAAGGTATTCTACAGGTCTTTAACGAGTAATTTTATTTTTACTTATGATATATATTATATAGGCGCTAGCGTTAAGCGTTACTGAGATAATTTAGAAGTGCTACCGATAGCCAGAGTAATGAGCGCTAACAAGCGCTGTAGAGCGGTTAGAAGCGCTGTTGAGCGCTAGCAAGCGCTGTTGAGCGGTTAGAAGCGCTGTTGAGCGCTAACAAGCGCTGTAGAGCGGTTAGAAGCGCTGTTGAGCGCTAACAAGCGCTGTTGAGCGGTTAGAAGCGCTGTTGAGCGCTAACAAGCGCTGTAGAGCGGTTAGAAGCGCTGTTGAGCGCTAACAAGCGCTGTTGAGCGGTTAGAAGCGCTAACTTACTGAAGAAGAGTTGAAACTTCTCCCGATACTAAGATCTATTGGAGTTTTAATGTCCTCGTATAATATGAGGTGTCCTACTGCGTCCATCTAACGGGCAGGAGATGTGTCAATATATCAAACAAACTTACAGACATACATACATACAAACGTACAGACAAACATACGATACATACATACATACAAACGTACAGACAAAAATACATACATACAAACAAACGTACAGACATACATACAAACAAACAAACGTACAGTCATACAGACAAACAAACGAACGCATAAACGCGAACGCATAAACAAACGCACAACCACAAAAACGAACGAACGAACAACCGAACGCACGAAGGAGACTTACAAACGCTCGAAGGATTTACTTACACTGGCGTTGCTGGTATTACTTTCGACACTGTCGTAGCTGCTTACTCGTTCGTGATGGTCTATATTAGATACGTGCATCAACGGCGCCTGACGGAAGACAACTACTGTTATTTTATTAGTGTTATTCGTTACCATGGTTACCTGGTATTAGTGTTATTCGTTACTGAAGCAGCTAAAACTGTCTTTGACTTATTTTGATAGATCATTCTCGGTCGAGATTTATTAAGTTTACATAAAACCAAATTCAGTGATTAAAATGAGTTGTGAATTGTGATAGGAGTTCAGAGTGATGTTTGATTTATTTGTTTTGATTATGAAGAAAAAAAATGTTTGATTCAAATTCGATGGAATATTCAGAAATAACAACAGGTAATTCGTGTCAAAGTTCTTTTCATTTTAATAAATTAATTATAACTGTTCAAATTAAGAGGTTGTATGTTAATTGCTTTGAGTCTCCCTCTAAAGTACAGTAATTGACTTCACCGTCCGTCACGTTTACGCAACCAAGAAAAACAACAAAATAATAACTTATTTAATCAAAAATAACAAGACAAAATGTTAATTATATACATAATTAAATCATTCCACTGTAAAAATATATAATGGTACACCCGCCAGAGAATATGGTATTCCCCAATTTACAGTTTATCAAAAGTTCAGTAACCACTATTGAATTGTTCCCAGTTTCAGTGATAAATTTACAGCTTATCAAGAGTTCAGTAACTATTATTGAATTGTTCCCAATTTCAGTGATAAATTTACAGCTTATCAAGAGTTCAGTAACCATTATTGAATTGTTCCCAATTTCAGTGATAAATTTACAGCTTATCAAGAGTTCAGTAACCACTATTGAATTGTTCCCAATTTCAGTGATAAATTTACAGCCTATCAAAAGTTCAGTAACTATTATTGAATTGTTCCCAGTATCACTTGATTCAGTACTAATCACTTCAATCTTATATGTCGAATCATCCTCATCCCAAATCACCCTACTCTCAAATAAATCTCATCTCAAAATTGTTCTAAATCTAAAACATCCTAAAAACTCTAATCTCAAATATAAATCAGCTCGAACCTCAAATATTCTCAGTTCATTAGTTCTAAACACTGAACATCTCATCTCAGAGAATTGTCGCCCGGATCTCATTGGTAACCATGTGATGCCCATAATATATGGTAATATGGTAATATCAGATCTCATCGAAAATATCAGTCCGGACCTGGATCTTATTGAAAATGCCAGTCCCAGTCTTGGTTTTGTTTTCGCCAGTCCCGGCTGCTAGTATGGGTCTATGTGTTGTTCTCTTCCGGATCTTATTGCACACGTCAGTCAGTAGCGAGGTAGTGTAACGGTTTAGTGAACTGCTGTGTTACCGGAGCTTTTATAAACTTGATATTCTCGTGCAGAGCAGGTATCGTATCCCACACATCCAGAGGTGTGGCGTCACGTGGTGTCTTAGTGACGTCACGTGAATTTTTTGTGACGTCACGTGAGGGCTGTTTGTTGTCTGATCCTCCACTCTCCCTCATCTCCGGGTTAAAGTACAGTTTCTCTTGGATCTTGTTAAAGACACCAGGGCAGTGGTTCTGGAAACCATCAGGTTCCAACTCGTTTAGTCTGGAGAACACGTCACGCGGTGGTGTGATGACGTCACGTGCTGTTGTGATGACGTCACAAGGTGGAGGAGAATTACTTTGCTTGCTTGTTTCATCAGCTTCCTCGTCGACTAGCTTCACTGCAGGTAACTTGGCTTGAATCTTACCGAATATACCCGGCAGGTGAGTTTTGAATCCCCTAGAGTTGGTCTGCATTACTGGAGCACTGGCTGTTCTCTGCATTACTGGGGGTTTTATAAACTTTATATTCTCATGAAGAGGAGGAACCACATGTTCTGGTGGTGTGATGACGTCACGCAGTGGTGTGATGACGTCACGTGTTGGTGTGATGACGTCACGTGGTGGTGTGATCACACCGCTACCGTTCTGTAACTCGGCGAGACACTGATCCGCTATATCAATAGGATCGTCGGAGCTCAGCACTGAAGAAGAACGGCTTATTGGGGAGGTCTTGTTATATCGGGAGGGGGGTTTTGTTTTCGGTTTAGAATAGATTTCATCTTCTACATCATCGGGAACCAGAGAGGTATCTAACTTTGCTTGGATCTTGTCAAAGATACCTGGAACATGGGTTTTAAATCCTCGTGCGTTTCTCTGCATTGCTGGAGCACTGACTCTCCGCTGCATTACTGGAGGTTTTATAAACTTTATATTCTCATGAAGAGGAGGGACCACATCTTCTGGCGGTGTGATGATGTCACGCGGTGGTGTGATGACGTCACGCGGTGGTGTGATGACGTCACGTGACAAGGCAAATGCGGCAGAATCCTGGAGACACTGAGAAGCGTTAGAGTGGTCAAGATTGTCCAGATTAATACGGGAGATGTTGGGTACTTCAAGCTCGGCCAGAAATAGGTCCGCCATTTCAACAGGGTCGTCTGTGCTACTCAAGACTGAGGAGGAGCGACTGAGTGTTGCTGATTTTACAGATCCATTTTCAGATCTAGCAGTTGCAGAAGTATTTCTAATATTGTTTGAAGTTTTTTGAGGCTTGATATCGAATTCTTCATCCATGTCATTAGGAATTAAAGAAGTGTCTAACTTGGCTTGGATCTTGTCAAAGATACCTGGAACATGGGTTTTAAATCCACGTGCGTTCCTCTGCATTGCTGGAGCACTGACTTTACGACTCATAACCGCAGGTTTCTGCTTGATGTTTTCATGTAAAGGAGGTACTGCATCACGTGCTGGTGTGATGACGTCACGTGAGGAACATATGACGTCACGTGCTGGTGTGATGACGTCACGTGACGAACATAAGACGTCACGTGGTGGTATATTGGGCACTCCATTCAGTAATTCAGCGAGACACTGTTCAGCTATTTCAACAGGATCATCTGAACTAAGTACTGAAGAGGAACGGATGATCGGGGCAGGCTTACTGTTCTCAGTTTCAACATCTGGAAATGCTTGGGACAGTTTGGCAGGTTTGCAAATAACATCTCCTCCTATTTCATCTCCAACCAGCTTAATTGAGGGATCTAACTTAGCTTGGATCTTGCCAAAGACCCCTGGAACATGTGTTTTGAATCCTCTACCGTTCGTAGCACGTGGTGGCGATGTGACGTCACGCGGTGGCGATGTGACGTCACGTGGTGTTGTGATGACGTCACGTGGTGTTGTGATGACGTCACGTGGTGTTGTGATGACGTCACGTGGTGTTGTGATGACGTCACGTGGAGTTCTCTCTGGATTACTGCCCTCAGTTTTACGATCTTCTGTTTTGTGATCCACTGTTTTTTCAGGATTTTGTCCGAGTGCAGCTGTTCTTTCAGTTACAAACTCCTGTAAACACTGCGACGCTTTAGCATGCTCCTGGTTCCCCATATCAATAAGAGAGACAGTACTAGGAACTCCCCCCGTCAACTCAGATAGACACTGTTCAGCTAGCTCAGTGGGCGTCTTGTCACGTGACACGCGCGCGTCCTGCGGGTCAGTGTACATGTACCGCGGGTGGTCACGTGATTCTTTAGTGTCACGTGACTCTGTCGTGCCACGTGATTCTGTCGTGTCACGTGATTCTTTAGTGTCACGTGGGTGATCTGTTTCCATTCAGATGTGTAGTTACAGGTTGTGTAGTACAGGTAGAACACGTGGTTAGCAGCAGGAGGGGTTCTTGGTTCTTAACTAAAACAGAGGAAAGATGAGGAAAATATAGATTATCACTATAGTTGCAAAGGTGAGGAAAATATAGATTATCACTATAGTTGCAACAACAGAACGATTAAATTTTAACACTGATTATAGTCCTACTTATTAATAAAGTAAAAGGTGTCTGCTATACCAAAACTGCGCAGCACAGGGAATCAAACAAAACTGGGAAAGCGAAAGGCAAGATCTGACAAAGGAAAACAAGCAAAAGAGAAGGAGAAGTATAACACATCACAACAACCGGCACAACCTCCCACTCCAACATTTGTGTTATAAACTAGGTCAGGGTGAACTTAAGAAGCTCTAGATAGTTCTACCCTTATATGGGCATCACGTGGTAGTTCTACCCTTATATGGGAATCACGTGATAGTTATACATTTACCCGCTCACAGGTCGGTTACAGGTTCTGCGAAGTATTAAGATAAGTCAAATAAATCGTATTAGCTATAACAACTATTTAAATAAGTCAAATCAGTTGTGTTGATAGAACTATTTGAATTAGCCTGATTATTGACCGGAATGCTGGCAATTCACATCTCTTAAGACGGATAACACCTTTACTCGGCAGGTTGAAGAAATTAACAGAAGGACTCTAAACAAGATATCTCGTGTTACAATTTTACAACAAGTTGGGACAAGTCCTAGCTTTGTGTGTACTAGAGAACAAGTCCTAGTTAAATCACGTGATGCCCATATAAGGGACTAGCTTTAACACTTCAACAGTTAGACGACTCTGAAGAAGGGGAAAAGAGGCCGGAAATAGCGTCTAACTGACACAACTCCTGGAATAGTGCCACTACTACTGGTTACAGTAGTAACCAGTAGTAACCAGTAGTAACCAGTAGTAACCACTAATATAGTGGTTACAGTAGAAGGCACAAAACGGACTTTGATTAGTAGTAGTACCGTTTCGGGGCATCTGATTGAAAAATTGGTGAGGTTGGAGGCAACTGATTGAAGAATTATAGGGTGCTAACATACTTAACATAGAACAACTATTTTTAACTATGAGTACAAGATCTGAAGACCCATACTGTTGATAACCGAGCCCTGCAGCGTTAAATACCATAAATAATCATAACTACTCCTCGCTCTGTACTTATCGTGACAACATTACAATGATTTAAGTTAAGCTGTCTTGAAGAAGGAGTAACCCCTACGTGTCCCTGTCAAACATGTGACAAACACGTGTCCCTGTCAAACATGACACGTTATATTCAACTCTCACAACGCTTCACGGCTAACAGCCCTTCGTGACACGAGCAGAGATCACGTGACAGTAGCAGAAATCACGTGACAGTAGCATAAATCACGTATA